GAGCAGATTGGAAAAAGTTATATTGATATTTGAATAAATGAGAAAAAGGTAAATTATTATCCGCGATTATTTTGGAAAACTAGATAATTGTGAAATTTACGGGATTGATGAAGTTAACCACAAACAAAATCATTGTAAATGTTGATTACAGAAATAGGTGATATAATTTGGTGATTTATTCTTATTGATTCGAGAAAAAAAATCGTGATAAATCATTTAGGTGATTGAAAGAGATTATGAAATATTTTTTTCAATAAAGAAGATTCATAGCTTTAGCCATGATTGCTTTTAGTATCGGTGTCATACATAATAAATATGGTTGTTAGATAGTAAATTTGGTCACTAGATCATGTGAATTTATCCATTGTTATGTCAAGGATTGTAATTAATAAAGAACATAGAATTAAGATACTTTTAGGAACTCCATAAACTTAAGGTTTGATAGGCAGAGAAATCATTTTCAATTAAATAGACACTAAATTCACTTTAAAGAGAGGACGAAGAGTTTTTTTTTTTAAAAAATAGTATCATCGGTTGTCATCGATGACTATTAACACTGGTTATTCATAACAAACGATGATTGAAATTTGGACAGATAGAAAGAAACATCGAGGAAGGGAAAAAATAGAAAAAAATCAAAGAGAAAATAAAGAGAACAAAAATGATTTTTATAGGATACAAAACGGCAATATCTTTTACGTATTATTTTTACGTAAATTATGCTTTTATAACACGATATCATTTGGTGTTATTTTTCATATCATAACATCATTAATTATTTATCAAAACAGGAACAATTCAAAATTGTAATGATTAAATTAAAAAAAATGAAACTTAAGTGAGCAAAATACAAGTGAGAGTAAAGTTGAATACTAAAATCTAATATTTACCCTAAAACTTATATTTAACATAAGGAACTTGTAAAAGCTTCATTGGGCTAACAGATTGACATGGGCCTATCTGTAACCCCATGATCATTGACAAAAGATGCCCAGAGTCCAAAATACGAACCCCTTTTTCTCTGTTTCAGGGCTCATTTCCTAAATCTGAATCGCATTTTTCGTCGTCGTTTTCGTCCTCTCCGCATTCGAGTGGAAACACCGATCTTCCTGACCGGGATCAATATCGGATCGGTGGCAGGGGTAAGAAATCATGTGTAAATTTTATCAATTTTGTTTTGTTTTTACCTGATTGAACGCTTAAAATTGTTCTCTGAATGTTTCCAGGTTACAATTAACTTCAATTACTTACGACATGTCTAAGGCTCGAGATCCATTTTATATCGTCAAAGAAGAGATTCAATAATCTGTATGTTGGGTCCTTTCCTTTTTACTCTTTCATCGTTGCATCTATTTGATAGTTGTCTTTTGTGGGATTCTCCACTAGTTGATTTTTCTGGGTGTTTTGGTTTAGATTGATAAATTGCAATCAAGTTTTCACCAATGGGAGAGGATTCGTTCTGACGAAGAGCGAGGACATCTCACAAAAGAGCTATTTGCTAATTGTGAGAGCATTGAGTGGCAGGTATTTGGTTTATGTTTCCTGCTTAATTTGGATTGGATTACCAAATGGGAAAATCTATATGATGGAATGATTTATTTTGCATAATATTTATCGATTTTTATCTGATTTGTCACTGCTAAAAGGATTACTTTTTTTATAGGAAGGTAGATGAATTGGATAAAGCTATTTCTGTGGCAGCTAGGGATCCTTCATGGTATGGCATCGAGGAAGTGGAACTTGAAAACCGAAGGAGATGGACAAGCAATGCCCGAACTCAGGTATCAGCTTTAGGGTTTCTAGATATTATCAAAGAGTGAATATTTCAGGAACGTTCATGTGTTTAGTGGTGCAGTGCCGAATTTTTCCTGTTATTATTGGTGGATTTTTTTTATCCGTGAAAATCTTGGGTTTTGCGACACATGGTGAATCTTAATCTTCTACTTTTTCAGTTATGGATCTCTTGTTAAGTTGTATTTCGTTTGATCAGGTGGGAAATGTGAAGAAAGCTGTAGTAGCTGGAAAGGAAACGGTAATTCTGCAAGTGCAGTGCACCGAGAACTGATGAGACTGCCAAATTCTCATCGACCAGATAGATCCAACCTATATAGTGCGGAAGATAATGACGACTTCATAGCATCGGAATCAGATAGACAAATGCTTCTTATAAAGTAAGAGTTTTCTCGAGTTCCCCTGCCCGTTTCTGTTACTATACTGCATTTGTTGTCCAGTTTTGCTATTTTTTTTATTGTTTATCAGTTGTTGGTGTTAGGCAGCAGGATAAGGAGTTGGATGATCTTAGTGCTAGTGTTGAGAGAATAGGAGGTGTCGGACTTACTAACATGAGGAACTTCTTGCACAGGTGAGTACTTGTAGTTCACCTGCCATAATTGGTCGGGTTTACCGGACACCAGAGCTTAAAGCTATTATAGTTGATATGTTTGTATGCTAATATTTTAATCCCTTTGGGGTTTCAGGAGAAGATAATAGATGATTTAGGTAATGAAATGGACAGCACAACAAACCGATTGGATTTTGTTCAGCTGATTGCTCACGATCTACAAGTTACATATTTGGGCTTGTTCCAACTCGAGCTTGTCTTGAATTCCTCATTTGTTTTTCCCTTGCAGAAAAAGGTAACCATGGTTATGAAGAAGGCCAGTGCAAAGGGGCAGTGTATGATGATATTATTTTTGCTAGTTTTGTTCATTATTCTATTCATTCTGGTCTTCTTCAATTGAGAACAGAGATAAAGCTCCGTCTTACGATGTTCATAAGTTGAAGAGGTCTGATTCAGAAATAAAAAAAGGGGCTGTGTTGGTGTGATCTTTAGTGGTGAAAACAGTGAGAATGAAGAAAATTATGTGCTGTGTTTGGAATGGTGGAACTTAGTGTTAGGAGTATATGTAAAGACAGGCATATATTATTGTTGCTGTTTGCTTCTTAATGCAAGAACTATGAACCACAGTGTCTTGGTATTATCATAGCTGCATCATATTATGATTTTTATTTGCCTTTTGATTGTCTACTTGTACGAATGTATTATTTTATGTAAAAGTAAATATGAATTATGTTCAAAAGAATAAATGTGTATGGTGTAAGATCTGTTCGATTTATGTCTCTTTAGTATAAGACGTCCTACTAAAAACGTCTTCTGAATAATCATCTGACGTGGCGTGTCTTTATCAGGAGGATATTAATCCAAAAATTAGTTGACAATGTGTGTTAATATGGAAATTAAATTTTTTTAGAGAGATTCGGATAAAAAAGAGTCCAGGTAAAGAATATTATAATTAAAATAAAGATATTAATTGAATAGAAAAAGAGAAAAATGGAGTCCATTACTAATACTATCTCATCCACATGCGGCTGCAGATATTTTCATCTGCTGTGTATAAGCGCCATATTCGTTTATCCGTTAATCAGGTAAAAACGGTTTCCCATACGACCGCTCGCACAGAATCAAACCCAACGCCACTAAAGCAATTGGCACGAGTTGACTTACACTAGTGTTCAAGAGAGGAAATATGAACATTATCAAAGGGTAATATTTCATCCCGAGTGGACATTCTTAACAGGAATTCTTCAACAAAAAAAATCCTCGAGAGAATTTTCCTTCTTCTTAGCAATACACAATAAAAACTCTAAACACAACATTTATAAAGGACTAAAAATTTAAAAAAATTATATGATACTTTTCACCTCGACATGACTAGTTTCAAAGTGATCGTTGCTTTTGATTGTTGTTCTGTTCTTTGTCCAACGATTATAAAAGGCTAGTTGATTTTAAATGAACTCGTCATGTCGATGAATTTCATTATTTTTTAATTACTTTAAATTAAAGAATTAATTACCTAATTTAAAAAAATATTATTTTAAATGGACTCGTCACGTCGACCTGAATTTTTTTTAGAAAAATATTAAACCCCATAGGATCTACTTACATGGTTCCATTAAACATATCATTTGAGAAAATCGTCATGTTGTCAGGATGAGTTTACTTGCACTGTAACATTTACCGTAAATATCAAAATAAAACTCTCGATGATAGTCCAAATAAGTATACCTCATGGTTTAATTGGCCAATTTTGCCATCGTTTAATGGAGGCTTAAGTATATAAAATGTGCTAAATCTATGTTCATTTTTTTAGTTTAGTGTCTAATATTTATTTCGTTTCAGCTTGGTGTTTAACGTTACAAACATTACTCATTTAGGTGTTTGGGTCATCAATGGAGTTAATTTTCCCGTTAAGTGACATGTGTCGGTAATTTTAAAAAAATTATTTAAAAATTAAAAATTAAAATTATATATATATATATATATATTTTAAAAAGAAAACACAAAAATTAAAATAAACCTAAAGCTTTGAAAACCTTTATTTCAACCCCTAAACCCACGTTGGCTGCCGTCTTTTGCTATCGATGAAGCTCCATCCAACCTATTTTTCCCTCGGTGACCAAAACCCTCATGAAATCGTGACCGAACGATGGCGAATCAATGTTTTATACCCGCAAACACTAGGATGAAAATCGAGATTCCACGCGATTTCGACGGTCGACCAACCGCCAATCAGTCAGAATTTCATATGGATTTTGGACGCGAGGGGAGGAGAGGTCGGGTGGAACTTCGTCGACAACAAAAGATAACGTATGTTTAGGGGTTGAAATGAAGGTTTTCAAATTTTTTGGGTTTATGGTGATATTTTTTAATATTAAAAATATACCAAGTGACATTTTTAATTGATTAACGGCCAAACTCAATGATTCTTCATGACTTGACCTATTTTGAGTAATAAAATAAAATATTAGACACTAAACTAAAATAAAATAAATGTTAGATACTAAACCGAAAAGAAAAGCATAAGTTAAGCAAGCAACTTTTGTATACTTAAGCCTTTAATGAATAAGAAAACGGGATATAAAGTAACGGAACCGAGGAGATCCGTTAAACGAGAATAACCTCTACTATTTTTCTTGGAAATTACTTTAATAAAAAGAGCCATCGAGTCGAGTCTTCTCCAAGTATTTTCTCAGCCTCTCTCAGGTTTTCTCCATTCACTTTTTACACTCATCTAATTTCACTTTCATTTTACCTCTCAGTTTCCCAGTATCCAAACAGAGTACAAAAACCTGGAAAAACCCCAATAAAAGTGCTATTTTTGTTTCTCTTCCTGGTTTTTAATTACGTTAATATTGTTGAAATTTCAGTCTTTCGGTTAAGCTCCATCTTTAAATCACACCAAATGACTGACACTTTAGAGGAAGCCAAGCAAATCGAGAAGCTCTACGAGTTTGGTGAAAGCCTCAACGAGGCCAAAGATAAGTCTCAGGTTGGCGCCTCTTGTTCCCCTCACCCTCTATTCCTAGGATTTAATCGCCCTTTTTTCTAGTTGTAACTTGTCTAATTTGTGATATAGAATGTGAAAGACTATGAAGGGATCATCGATGCCACGAAGACGAGCACAAAGGCGAAGCAATTGGCTGCGCAGCTAATTCCTCGCTTCTTCAAGTTCTTCCCCAACCTCAGCAGCCGTGCTCTTAATGCTCATTTCGATTTGATTGAAGAAGAAGATTTGGCAGTTAGTTCATACTCAATCCACGCACTTTCTTACTATATTTGGTTACTGAAAAATTGGGGGAATTAAAGTGAACTATTACTTTTACTGTGTTGAATCTTATTAGAATTTGGACCTTTTTGTAGGTTCGGGTGCAAGCAATTCGGGGGCTTACTTTATTTTGCAAGGACTCGAAGGAGTATATTTCTAAAATTGTAGACATTTTAGGGCAACTCCTTACTGCTGGTAAAAATGGAATCCTTTTTTTAATTTGTATTATTACGTTATTTTTTTTCAAAGAATGTCTTATAAGTATGTCCAGTGTGTTTAATCTCTTTGATGAACTTTTGTTTCTTGTCTTCTAGAGGAGATTGTGGAGCGTGATGCTGTTCATAAAGCCCTAATGTCTGTGCTGAGGCAGGATGTGAAAGGTAATTTGGCATTCCGATAAAGTCTGGTAAAAGAATGCATTGATTTATTTTAGTAATGTGAAATTTGACTATTAAGTATTGCATGTGACATGTGAGTTCTATAACCAATTTTTTGCAGACTAGAATTTGGTTATACTGCATCTCTTCCAGTTTCCTCTTCTAGGGACTATTAGGTGTTTGGGTTGTCTAGGATAGTTCATGAGCTTTGTGAATAAAACAACTTTGAGGATATACATATAAACTAAAATGCTAAGTTGGATGTACTAGTTATATTGACAAATGTAATCGACCTTTTTTAATATGCTTTCATGTCCTTGTAAAATTTGGCATGAATCAACATGCAGTCTTCATTTTCTGGAATTTTTCTTCCTGGTTTATCCCTTGATGTCTATATTCTCTTGTGAATGCAGAGTCATTGACAACACTATTCAAACACGTTTGGAATGTTGAGGACCCAAGTCCAGATGACACTATCCGTGACAAGGTTTTGTGCTTTATACGTGATAAGGTAAAGACTGCTTCTTCGTTTTCCAATTGTTGCTATCCCGTGCTTTGTTCCCTGATGATGATTGAGGGAGAATCAACTGTGTTTGTAGGTTTTTCCTCTTAAAGCTGAACTCTTAAGACCTCAGGAGGTAATGGAAAGGCATATTACTGATTTAATTAAAAAGGTACACTTTTGATTTCATTGCTTAAGCATTCATCATTGTATCTAGTTTTTCATTCTCCCCCCTGAATTGTGAACTTTCAATAGGAAGATGTAGGATTGATTCTATTTATTTCCATTGCAGAGTTTAGGGGATGTAACTGGAGCTGAATTCAGAATGTTTATGGACTTCTTAAAAAGTTTGAGCATATTTGGGGAGAAAGCTCCTTCTGAGCGCTTGAAGGAACTTATTGAAATAACTGAAGGGCAGGCTGATTTAGACGCACAGTTTGATGTGAGTGCTTCTTTGCTGAATATTGGTTTGGATTTTTCCTTTATGATGCCTGACTTGATTCTTATGGTGTGTTTTGTATAAAGCTACCACTTTTCATAATTTAATGTAGATATTCTTTAGATTTTAGAAAGGTTGTGGGGCCATAAAATATAAAAATAGTTTGCCAGCATTGCCTAGTTGAGTCCACTGTTACACTGCCATTGTATCAACTATCAACTGGCTTTTGTATGCAGGTTTCGGATGCAGATCATATAGATAGGTTGATATCATGTCTGTTCATGGCTATTCCATTTTTCATGGTGAGCACTGATTTGGTATTCCTGAGTATTTGCTTTTGATCCATTAAATATCCTTCCAATATATGAACTTAATTAGCTGTTTTTTTCCCTCTAAATCATTTTACAGAGGGGTGCTTCTTGCAGCAAGTTCCTCAACTACATAAACAAGCACATTTTACCTGTTTTTGATAAGGTATACTAACATCCATCATTACAAAAATTTGACGTGTTAATACATTAGAAGCTCTAGAAATTTACTTAAATATGTTGATGCGAGTCTTGCTCATTTCTATACATCTGAATATTCCCTGAAAGTGGGAAGTTTTTTCTACCAGAATTTATTGAGGAACTCTGCTTTGTTAAGCCACTTGCATGATCCTTTATTTTAAGTAGCTAGTACTGTAGTCAGGAATATGTAACAAAATGTCTGTGTCTTACAGCTTCCAGAGGAGAGAAAACTAGATTTGCTAAAAGGCCTGGCGGAAATTTCTCCTTATACAACACCACAGGATTCACGCCAGATTCTTCCTTCTGTTGTTCAGCTTTTAAAGGTACAGGCATACATTTACGTTTCATATCTTGTTGAATTGTTAGATTTTTATTATATAGTTGTCTCAAGCATGTTATATTATGGATTCTGTTTATTTATGAACCTTTTCTTTCTTTCTCAGAAGTACATGCCTGCGAGGAAGACCGGAGAAGAAACAAACTTTACTTATGTTGAATGCTTGTTGTTTTCATTTCACCATTTAGCTCACAAGGTTTCCGCCTCCTCTCAAATGAACTTTTAAAATAAAATTTTCTTTGTCACCATATATTGTGTAATGCTTATTTGAATATTATTGTTATATAGGCTCCCAATTCCACAAACAGTCTATGTGGTTACAGGATTGTGACCGGTCAACTATCAGATAGGCTTGGGGAGGACTTCTCAGAGTATTATAAGGAGTTCACCGAGAGGTAATTTAGCTTCTTGTCTCCATTATGCTATAGGTTTTACAAAAATTAAAAAAATAACTGGTTCTTTACTTCATACCGTATCTTGACAAAGGTTTTGTCCTGTTTGTAACAGTCAAATTTATTTGTGTTCATGGGATTAGATTTTGGAGATATCTGTGTGATCTGTTCTTTAGTAGTCCAATTTTTTTCTGTTCTTTTCTGTTCCTCAAAATTTGATATATATCCATTGAATCAATGAACCAATTCTGATATTTGCCAATGACTCCTAATTTCTAAGAAAAATAAAAATGCTACAGTCAACCAAATGGACTTAGTATGCTAATGCACAGCAAATTCCTCTAGTGTTGCCAAAGATAGGGCTAATGCATCTTTTATCTTCAACATAGAGGTCTAGCTTGGCTGCAACTAACTTACGGATCAGTCTAGAATGTTCTGATGAAAAAGAAGTATCCTCAAATCTATCATCATCAGATGAATTGTTGTCATATTGCTTATAACGCTTCTTGTTTACTGTTAGTACTTACTTTGTAATGGATGGTGGTCCAGATTGAGTAGTATTGAAGACCTAACGAGGGCCACAATGAAGAAGTTAACTCAAGGAATGGCTGAGCATAATAAAGCAATGGCTGCTGCTAAAACTGATGAAGCAAAGGATAGCATTGTGAGTTTATTCTTAAACTGCCCCATATTTAAGTTTGTTTTCTGCTTCCCTTTTTGACATATATCCTTCATTTTCTGTTTGCAGAAAACTCAAAAGCAGAACACCACAATGGGATTGCGTACCTGCAATAACATTTTAGCCATGACAAAGGTAAAGGAGAGTGAAATTTGTCTTCTAATTTATATAGTGGCTAAACTCTGAGCTGTTTATCTTTTATTATTTACCTGTTCAGCCCTTGCATTCCAAATCACCTGCATTCATTGGAGATAAGAGTGTCAACCTTTCTTGGAAAGAAGCTATAAAACCTTCTGTACCCTCCAATGCAACTGCAACTGGGTAAGTTCCCTGTTTATTTTAAATTCTTGTTTTCTGATTACTGTTATCCTCTTGTATTTTTGGCTTTACACAAAATAAGACCCACATTTTTTTGATGTGGTGATTGATGAAGCATGCATGGCCTATTGGCCTTAATAGAATTAAACCACATAAAATTACATCCATTTTCATGTATGTTTCAAGTGGACTCTGGCTACAGTGTAACCATGACAACACAATTTTAATTGTGCAATTGTTGTGCAGGGTGAAGCGACCTAATGCAGCTAATGGATCTAATAATTTTGCAACAAAGAAGGGCCGTGGAGGTGGTGGTATGCCAAATCAGCTTGTTAATAGAGCATTTGAAGGTATATCTTATGGTGGGAGAGGCGGTGGTGGAAGAGGCAGGGGTAGGGGTAGGGGATGGGGAGGACGTGGAGGAGGAAGAGGCTATCGGTAACTTGAGAGCATGAATCATAGAATGAAGACGATCAGAATTTCGAGACTCTGTTTCTACCTAAAGAACATGCTGAGAAGTCATTGATATGTTAAAACCTACTCTCTTTTCAAGGCAGTTTTGTTTGATACCTGATGCTGATGAGTTTTTAGATTCTTAGTGGACTAACAACAGCCATTGTAGTCCTTTGGAAGTTTGTCTGGCTAGCGTCTGTGATTTGAGTTCCCAATCCTGTCAAATTTTAGTGTATTTGAACAACAAATTTGCATGTTTTTTTTAGTGTGGGGATGGTTGTGTCTTGATGATCGTAAAGTTATAGTGACCTAGTTTATCAAGGATGAGTACTCAGACCTGGTTATGTAGAATCTGACCGTGCTTGTTAAGTTAATTTTGATCTTAAATAAGCATTAAAATCTTTTTCTGCATCATTTTATTTCATTTAGCACAGATTAGTTTGTTTGTCAATTTAGAACCTGCAGCTGCATTTCGATCTCAGCTTCTGCTTGCGATCTCACCTACATTCATATCATAATTTTAACAAAATCTTTACATTACAACAGCTTAAACTAAAAAAATATAACAAATAATTATAATTTAAAGCATATTTATACTATAAATTGAAGTGGCATCACACCCTTTTTATGTTTTAATTAAATTTCTAAAATATTTTCCTTTAGATTTGAACGTTAAGTTACCGTAAACAAATGCATTTTACGAAATTTGAGTTTTTTTTTTTTTTGCGCAAAATTATTTTAAATAATTTCAAAATTATATAATTATGTAAATAATTTAAAAAAATATCACGTCTATAGTATAGTTCTTAAACTTTACATGCAGGTTAAAAAAATAAAATAAAAATTGTATGCCTGTCTCTAAACAAATGAGTAGATTTAAAATATTCTATTACCAATATATAAGAAAATTGAATTCATAAAAGAGAAAATAACCTCATTGACCAAAAATGTCTTATAATATACGATTTTAACCAATTTTTTTTGGATTTGCCAAAATGACCAACTAAATCGCAATGCGATCGATAATTCGCAACGCGATCTCCGGTATCGCAAATCAGTTTCCAGATTCGCAACGCGAACTTCGACTATCGCAATGCGAACTTGGACATCACAATGCGAACTTGGAAATCGCAATGCGATAGTCGAAGTTCGCGTTGCGATTTTCCAAATTCGACTATCGCAACGCGAACTTCGACTATCGCATTGTGATTTACATATTCGAATTGCGATAGTTCAAGTTCGAGTTGCAATTTATTCTAAATTCGTTGCGATAGTCGAAGTTCGCGTTGCGATTTATTCCAAATTCGTTGCGATAGTATTGCATTTGTTTATTAAGAATTTTCTCTAAAAAGATAGTACTCACGCGGACGTGTCGAAGACACGTATTACCACGACCACGATCACGACCACGACCAGAGACGACCCGAGACGAGACGAGACGGACGCGCGAGAGTCCTCCTTGTTCTCTATCACTCAACAAGGAAGTGGGAAAGCTAAGCCTTAAATACCATTCCCAATAGTGTTTCCAATACTATGTGGGATTGAGCATTACCAACACTTGTTTCCAATATAATGTGATTATTCAGGAAACAATTAACAATCATGCACCTTAAAACAACTGAATTAGCAACCAATTACATTAGTATTATACAATTAAATATGTCATAATTAAAAGTCAATCTACAATTAATCGCGATTATTGCAATAGTCCAAGTTCGCATTGCGATTTTCCAAATTCGACTATCGCAACACGAACTTCGACTATCACATTGCGATTTAGCATTGCGATAGTCGAAGTTCGCATTGCGAATCTGAAAACTGATTTGCGATACCGGAGATCACGTTGCGAATTATCGATCGCATTGCGATTTAGTTGGTCATTTTGGCAATTCCAAAAAAAATTGGTTAAAATCATATATTATAAGGTATTTTTGGCCAATGAGATTATTTTCTCTTCATAAAATTATAATAGGAAGAAAGAAACTACGGTTGGTATAAATTTTTTAGAATTTACCTTACATAGAATTTAATTTCAAAAGAAGACAAATAATATTTTGACCCCTAAAGTCATACAATTTTAGTATCTGATTTTTTATTAAACTTTTTCCAATTAAAGTATATTACCTTATTTTATTGTTCCATTAAAAAATACATAATATTTAAAGTATATTACCTTATTTTATTGTTCCATTAAAAATATACATAATATTTTAAGAACTAATAATTTAGAATGCTATATGTAGCACATAACATATACTAAATTAAAAAAAAAACTTTAAAAAATTCACATGTCTTTAAAAAATCTCAAAATCCTCAATTTAAGAAAATTGATAATTTTTAGGTTTTTAAAGATATATGAAAATTTTCGAGTTTAACATATATTGTGTCATATAACACTTCAGCCGGCACGTTCTTAGAGTGTCGCATGATATTTTCCTAATGGGAGAATAAAGAGGGGTAGCATGTTTCATGAAAAGATAAGGGTTAAACTGAAGAATTTTTTTTCAAATATCAAAATGATAATAAAGTAAAACTTCAAAATCTAAAATAAAAAGTTCTTAATTTTTATTTTTAAAATTAAAATATTCGAACTCCTAATATAAAAAGATAGGGACTAAACTCCAGCATTACACTAGGTTATTTTAAACTAACATCCAAAAAAGATAACCAGTCTAGTACTAGTAACTGAGGTAGACAGCATAATATAAATAAGTTTAAGTTCTTCTGAGGACTACATTGCCCTAATTAAAGAGGGCATTACACGACATGCAGCAGTCTAGAGATTTAGGTTAAGGTCAATGAATAACCTGTTTCTTCAGTACAACTTTTCTCAGTCGAAGTAGTACCCCTTTGCACCTCTTCCTGTTGTAATAAGAAGCTAAAGGATCCCTTGTTGTGAACTGAAACCTCTGATCCTCACGAAGACGACGGCTTTTGCAGTAAAGACCCCTCAGTGTTCTCCTTTTCATTTACAAAAAAGTTTTTTTCCCTTTTCAAACCAGGGATAGGACATGGAAACATAGATAGAACCCAGAAAAAAAAGAAATTCAAAGTGAACAGTCGTGGCATTGTTAAAGATGAACTATCTTACTTGGAAAGGGAGTTTCTTGATGAATTTGGACAAGTCAGGTTGAGAATTTTCAGTAGTCGTTGAGCGACTGGAATTGCCACTAGAGTTCCCATGGTCAAATGTTTTCACTTTCAGCTCCAAAGGGATTGCTGGCAATAGGGTTTCGTCTCTGATAATGGTAAAAGTAAACAAACACAACATTCATGGTTAATAATTTAGGGTTTAGGGTTTATGATATGTGATATTCTACTAGCAGTGTATCAATAGTGGGAAAAACTGAATACATAACGTTTGGAAGCTAACCGGGATGTTCCAAAGTTGAAGAAATCATTGTTGCTAGACGAAGATGAAAGATCGAGCCAGGGAACCTGAGGGCGGACCGATTGAAAGGGCAATAGAGTAGGCCTCGGCCTCCAGTTCTCGACGGGGAAACTAGGCCTTGGCCGCTTGGTGCCCGTCATCTAATTCCATGAAATGAGCCAGAAGAATGTGAAAGTATGAAAAAGAAAGAGATGTTTATGTATATTTAACAAGTAAAAACATGGGTTTATATAATTATATGTGTGATTAAGACAAACATAGAAAACAAAGTAAACACAAACACTAAATTTGCATGCACTTGCCTTGTCTTCCTCGCCTAATAGTGAAGATATGAAGTTGCGAGGAGTAGGTTTTTGGTTTGAAAGGGGGCTCTACATGACGATACTCCCCTGGAGAAGATGATTGTGTTTTTGTTGTTGCAGACTGCGGGAAAAGATCCATCTGGTTTTGAATTCATGCATGTCAATATCCAAAAAGAAGAAAAAAAGTGTAACTAAACATAGCCACGAATTTAACAAGAAGAACAAAATTGGGTTTTCTTTTTACCAATGGAAGATGATTCTTGTGCAACATGAGAGGAGGAGGAGATTGTTTGGAAACAAGCACAGGAAAAGAGAAACCAGGAGCCATTTTTGGAGCTTCCTCGCGTTTCCTTGTCGACTCCGATGACAAGCCCCGTGATATCGGCAACAAGGTTTGTTCAGGCAAGAAGACGCCTGATCCGCCGATATAGACCCCTTTACTACGACCAGTGGCAGCACCCACGTTTAACTGTGAACTGCCACCACCATGAATTGCAGTCACTGGGAGTCTGGGAGTGATGATGAAGAAGAAGAAGAGATCACTCCATTAATCCCATTTCCTTGCCCCAAATGATCATCTTTCTGTTCTTGTTCACGCAATATCTTCTCCATCTCAGCCACTCCTGGTCCTCATTTGGGGATTCTCTGCTTCTTCGACATGCTGAAGAGGGTCTTCTTCTTCTTCTAGGTTTTTGTTAGATAATCAACAATGAAGAAACCCCAAGTAAAATTGTCTTGTTTGTCTGAAAAGAAAACTAAAACCTGGCAATCATCGAAACCTTTGTTGTTGTTATTTTGGTCCCTTGATTTTGATTTAAAAAATCTCTATTGCAATTGCCAATGTATAACATGAAAAGGTGCGATTTGTATAGGAAGGTCCATGGCTGATGTGTCTCAAAATGTTTGCCATGTGTACGTGCAGCTGTTGGGAGGTTTTTTTTTGCTCGGCAATATAAATATTATTAAGGAATTGGAAATACAATTCTGAACTAAGTTGTATGCCTCGTTAAAAGAGTGCAAAACAACAAAATGACGACAGAAAACACGAGCAAACACCTACCAAAATAAACTGTTGATCAAAACAGAATAAACTCTCGGCACCACTTAACAACTCACCCCTCATATACAAAAGAAGAACACATACCAACTTGCTATAAAAGCTCACGGATAGCAACCCCTTATTTATCTAAAAGGACCTCAATTCAAATTGACTTCTATATGCATAGAAAAATCATCACCGGATGAAGAATTTCGCCAAAGATATTCCAACACCATGGTGTCAATATCGATATTGAATTCCGAATAAAAGTCGCAAACGACCAGAGACTCCATTACTTTGGATAACCCAACAAACCAATCAGCTTATACGTCTTTGGAACTTCCAAAACTCTTCAATGCAACAGATAAAGGCAATGAAGACCCCAATCTCCAAATGAGTGCCAATAATGCAAACACCAACTCCACAAAACAAATGTTACCCCAATGTCCATCAACTAAAGGAACCGATTGCTTCCTCTAAAAGTACAATTCCCAAATTACTTCTTCCTCAGAGCTTTGGATTTTAATACCCAATACGATGCCCAATTATAATGTTATCCTAGCTTCCTTTATCAAAATATATCGTCTCACTTTCATGACAGAAACGGAAAGCTACATGACTTATTCATGAATTCTCGACTCGCAAACCACTACTGCACTTGACATCCGCATTCAAAGGCACTATCTTGGATCCTCCTTCCCTGGACTCAATCTTAACCATAACACCTTGATAACATAATGCATCCCCACAATACAACAAAGAATGGATTATGAACTCAACCACAAATCATGAACACCAACAAACAGCAAGAAAGCAGGACTACAACGCATCAAACAAAACAAAAACTCCCTACTCAACAATACACCTGCAACATAGATGGAATAGCTCGAGCCTCTTCAATTGATCCCAACTACGAAACTAAATACCCTTAAGCATCGTACCCTCTATCAAATACAAGGGAATGGGCACCTACCTTCAAGAGAACTAGCAATAACAACATAGACCACTGCTTGCAATCCATGATTTCATCTCAAGTCCTTCCTAAAAGTCAAGCCTGCCTCCTCAATATCAGCTCCTCTAACTCATCACCGATTATTTGGATCCCTAAACTTTTTCCCAAAGCCAAAGTTTCCTTAGCTTCTTTATACGCAGCCAACCATCTTTCTTTTAAATCGGAATCAGATAACGACCTTCCTGACAACTCTGAAGAGTCCAGATCTTTTATCTTCAACTTGTGCCTTTTAATCGCTCGATCCCCTTTTGCTTCTACTAGGAACCGACAGAACTTGATCTTGCAGTTTCAATAGAGATCCATACCTTTTTGATTTTACCCAACTGCTTTAATTCTGGAAAGAGATCACCTAAAACTGCCTTCTCAATATCAACTTTGCTAGTTCCCGCCGACTTCGAAAATACTGGATGATTTTGTTCAGGCCTTACACTCAACAACTCATCATATTCTGAAACCCAAGTATTATTCCCATGGCCTTGTCCATTATTAAGATCCTCTCCCGCCAGTACCTCAAAGCCCATATCCTTAATGTCCTTAAGAATCCTCGATTTGTAAAGATCAGCTATTTCTTTTTCATTATCAGCCGGACCCACAAATTTGTATTTGTCTATAGTCTCAACTGAACCTGCAACCCAATTTAAAATCTCCCCAGCCGCTCGCTCCTTCTAGAAACTGCACGTGATCCATATCATCATTATTTGCAGAAGAAACTGTACCTCTACCCACATTGAGCCCATTGCCTCTAATTTTCAATGCACTATTCCCATCATTCTTGCATGCTTCCCGATCGATATCACAGAGCTCCTCATTAAATATTTTCTCCTTTAGAGAAGTAACACCCTCGTCGTTCTTTTTTCGACGACAAGATCACCATATTCTTCTCGGAATAGCTCCCCAATGAGGTCTGGGTAGAATCTGACCCATTCGACCTCCCTTCTACACATGATTTTTGAATCTGAACATCACTACCTTTTCTCTGCGACACTGAATTAAAAGCAGCCTCCTCCGCTGAATTTCCACCTTCATCGCCGGTCGAAGAAGAGCCCACAGGAGACGAACCCCTTGAATGAGCGCCCTCCTTGACAATAACAATATTCTCTTCCACAGCCACCCTCTTCTTTGAATTTACACACCCGAAGGACTGTAAACTTGAACTATCTATCAGACCAAATTCCCTGACTCGCACACCAAATTTAGAATTCCCCACCGAAATATCCGCGACCAATTCAATCTTCGCTTTTTGAGCAGTGGATATCAACACCGATACTTTCTCGCAGTCCACTTGATGAATGGGGTTCTCACCAAAAGCTTCATAATCCCCCCACAGTTCAGCAAGCTTTCTCAAGTTAGTTCCATTCCAGCAATGCAGTGTAATACCTGAGAAACGTTACCCTTTCTCAATTTTATAATCCTCTGTCCACAACACTACTTCCACAAAGATTTATCTCAATTATGACCAATGCATGTCTTCAAGGGTTAAACACAGGTCTTCATCCTCGATGGTAAGCAAGAAAGCCTTCCCCCTAAACGCTGCACTTTTATCTCGCTCAACCCCCATTTTTGCAATCTGTCTATTATACTCCCAACACTACACACTGTGGCCATAACCCCCACAAGGCATTTCCTCAGCTTCAACACTTCACCTTCATCAACGTGACCAATGATAGATTTACGACCTACACCTTGCTGATTAGATAAGTCACCATAACTTCTTTCTACAACCGATGTCATATCCTTCTTAAACCTCCATTCCATGTTCTACCTAGCACCTTGCCTAAAAAACCCTTTTTCTTGTATCTTGCCAAGCCCGTTGCAATCTTGCTACCGAATAATGTCAGTCCATTCAACTTCTAGATCAACCTCTCAGCTTCTTCCTTACAACCTACTCTCACAAAAGCAAATCTCGTGCCACCCCTACTCCTTCTGTTTGATATGAACACACTAAGAGCTCGACCATATCGACCTACCACTTGCCATAAAACTTTCCAATGTAGTCCTTCCAGTAACCTGTCCACGAACAGAGTAGTTTCTTCGACCATTTCTTTCAACGCCACTCCCCACTTTAGAATAACATATTTGCATGGAATTTACAGGACTTTGTGATGGGTCCCACTGTGCTAATACTAGTAATGAGTAGGGATAGGACGATCTTCAAAGCTTTGAATCCTGTTTGATGATCTCTGCCTTCCAAGCATCCATCTGAAGGAACCAAATCGTGATCCTGATCCTGAATCCGATGGTCCACCGTCCTTTTCCTCTTGGGCAGCATTATGGGACGCATGCTCCTCTATCGGAGGAGCCGTTGGTCGAACCCTATCGACTGACTCGACATCCTCCGCCTGAAACATCGACTCAGCCACGGTGCGACATACGGGACACGTCGTATGTGACCCAAGCCACGTATCTATACATACACTGCACGTGAAATAAGTGGTTACAATTCGGTAAAAGCCTAATAATGGACTCCTCCGAGATGTTCCCCAGACAAACCGAGCATTCTTTCGGCTCATTGACCTGACCAGCGTATGTGAACATCGGCAATGAAGCTATAACCAAAGGGTCGAGCCCCGTTTTGGGTGATTCGACGATGCGAATTTCATCGACAGGTGCAATTTGATCGGTTCTCGAACCGTAAAGTTCAGCTTGACGTCTAAGAAGATACCTTGCATAGAGATGAAGTAAGATCATGAGCATCACCACTCCGACCAATGATCCCACCGCCGCCAACATGATCCTGCGGGTGACACGGAAGGTCCGATCATCATCATCATCTTCCGAACCCATAGTTTTGGCTTAGTTTCTCATCAGCGGAACCTTATTATATATCAGTTTATCGGAGAACGAACCGTCTTTGTTTTTAGGTTTTGCTCAGTGTGAAATGCAAGAAACGTTTCCCCTTAAAAGAACACATAAATTTCAAAGCAAGATAGCCACGGGTTCAACACTTTTCAATTTCATCCGTATCTTGAGTTTGACTTTACAACTGCTGATATTGCCTACAAATTAATTATTCTTTGTGATTTGTCCATATAATAATGTCATAAATGACTCATTAAAGGGTGTTAGTTACTAATAAATTAAGAGATATTCAATGGCATAAGATAAAATTTTTCCAAGGATTTGGTGTAAATTTTTCTAATGCCGCTTGTTTTACGTAACTCATTAGATATGTTGACATTAGGTTCTATATAAAGACAAAGATATTATAGATTTTTATACTATGACCATCATTTGAAATGGTAAAGTCCTAACTTGAGCTACAACTTCCCTTTTTCCCCTATGACGATTTTCTCTTGTATTTCCATTCTCATATTATGGTTTTTATATTTAATGGAAGTCCTTTAATGGTGCAATTAGTGGGTCTTCGATTATTAAATAAATAAAAATATTAGATTGACTAAATTCCAGGAAGTATAAGTAATAATTATCAAGTTTCGTTATCATTGTCAATCGGGTCCCGTAGCTCAGTTGGTTAGAGCGTTGGTCTTATGAGCCGAAGGTCGCGGGTTCGAGCCCCGCCGGGACCAAGGGTTTTCCCTCCTTCTCTCTTCTGTTGCGTGTTCTTGCTCCGCAGGGACCATTTTGTTTTTCTCTCGTTTTCGGCCCATAGACCACGCAAATCAAACCCCACATCATCAACGATGAAAGCGCAAAACTGTAAACCCCATATACCATTTCAAAGGTCCGATCTACCATTTATTTTATCCAATAAAACAAGTGGTTGGTATTCCACAAAGACTCACCTGAAAGTAAAACCCCAAAAAACAAAATTACATGTAGAACAAAAACCCTCATCCATTTTTGCTTCCAATCTCCCCCAATACGACACTGTTGAACAATGATTAATGGCCACAACCTGGTTTCATCAGACAATTCCAACACTTAGATATTCCATTGCAATAACACTCTCACCCACTAAGACAACCTCTCCCAGCTCTTCATTATCGGTTGTTGAGCCCTCAAAAACACGTTTAATATGATTCCTCTTTGTTTTATTTCCTTGGGACCAAGAAGGAATGGGGAAATGGTTGTAATATCTGTGTGATCTGTTTCTTTAGTAGTCCAATTTTTTTCTGTTCTTTTCTGTTTTGATATATATCCATTGAATCAATGAACCAATTCTGATATTTTCCAATGACTCCTAATTTCTAAGAAAAATAAAAATGCTACAGTCAACCAAATGGACTTAGTATGCTAATGCACAGCAAATTCCTCTAGTGTTGCCAAAGATAGGGCTAATGCATCTTTTATCTTCAACATAGAGGTCTAGCTTGGCTGCAAGCTAACTTACGGATCAGTCTAGAATGTTCTGATGAAAAAGAAGTATCCTCAAATCTATCATCATCAGCTGAATTGTTGTCATATTGCTTATAACGCTTCTTGTTTACTGTTAGTACTTACTTTGTAATGGGTGGTGGTCCAGATTGAGTAGTATTGAAGACCTAACGAGGGCCACAATGAAGAAGTTAACTCAAGGAATGGCTGAGCATAATAAAGCAATGGCTGCTGCTAAAACTGATGAAGCAAAGGATAGCATTGTGAGTTTATTCTTAAACTGCCCCATATTTAAGTTTGTTTTCTGCTTCCCTTTTTGACATATATCCTTCATTTTCTGTTTGCAGAAAACTCAAAAGCAGAACACCACAACGGGATTGCGTACCTGCAATAACATTTTAGCCATGACAAAGGTAAAGGAGAGTGAAATTTGTCTTCTAATTTATATAGTGGCTAAACTCTGAGCTGTTTATCTTTTATTATTTACCTGTTCAGCCCTTGCATTCCAAATCACCTGCATTCATTGGAGATAAGAGTGTCAACCTTTCTTGGAAAGAAGCTATAAAACCTTCTGTACCCTCCAATGCAACTGCAACTGGGTAAGTTCCCTGTTTATTTTAAATTATTGTTTTCTGATTACTGTTATCCTCTTGTATTTTTGGCTTTACACAAAATAAGACCCACATTTTTTTGATGTGGTGATTGATGAAGCATGCATGGCCTATTGGCCTTAATAGAATTAAACCACATAAAATTACATCCATTTTCATGTATGTTTCAAGTGGACTCTGGCTACAGTGTAACCATGACAACACAATTTTAATTGTGCAATTGTTGTGCAGGGTGAAGCGACCTAATGCAGCTAATGGATCTAATAATTTTGCAACAAAGAAGGGCCGTGGAGGTGGTGGTATGCCAAATCAGCTTGTTAATAGAGCATTTGAAGGTATATCTTATGGTGGGAGAGGCGGTGGTGGAAGAGGCAGGGGTAGGGGTAGGGGATGGGGAGGACGTGGAGGAGGAAGAGGCTATCGGTAACTTGAGGGCATGAATCATAGAATGAAGACGATCAGAATTTCGAGACTCTGTTTCTACCTAAAGAACATGCTGAGAAGTCATTGATATGTTAAAACCTACTCTCTTTTCAAGGCAGTTTTGTTTGATACCTGATGCTGATGAGTTTTTAGATTCTTAGTGGACTAACAACAGCCATTGTAGTCCTTTGGAAGTTTGTCTGGCTAGCGTCTGTGATTTGAGTTCCCAATCCTGTCAAATTTTAGTGTATTTGAACAACAAATTTGCATGTTTTTTTTATAGTGTGGGGATGGTTGTGTCTTGATGATCGTAAAGTTATAGTGACCTAGTTTATCAAGGATGAGTACTCAGACCTGGTTATGTAGAATCTGACCGTGCTTGTTAAGTTAATTTTGATCTTAAATAAGCATTAAAATCTTTTTCTGCATCATTTTATTTCATTTAGCACAGATTAGTTTGTTTGTCAATTTAGAACCTGCAGCTGCATTTCGATCTCAGCTTCTGCTTGCGATCTCACCTACATTCATATCATAATTTTAACAAAATCTTTACATTACAATAGCTTAAACTAAAAAATTATAACAAATAATTATAATTTAAAGCATATTTATACTATAAATTGAAGTGGCATCACACCCTTTTTATGTTTTAATTAAATTTCTAAAATATTTTCCTTTAGATTTGAACGTTAAGTTACCGTAAACAAATGCATTTTACGAAATTTGAGTTTTTTTTTGCACAAAATTATTTTAAATAATTTCAAAATTATATAATTATGTAAATAATTAAAAAAATATCACGTCTATAGTATAGTTCTTAAACTTTACATGCAGGTTAAAAAAATAAAATAAAAATTATATGCCTGTCTCTAAACAAATGAGTAGATTTAAAATATTCTATTACCAATATATAAGAAAATTGAATTCATAAAATTATAATAGGAAGAAAGAAACTACGGTTGGTATAAATTTTTTAAAATTTACCTTACATAGAATTTAATTTCAAAAGAAGACAAATAATATTTTGACCCCTAAAGTCATACAATTTTAGTATCTGATTTTTTTATGAAACTTTTTCCAATTAAAGTATATTACCTTATTTTATTGTTCCATTAAAAAATACATAATATTTAAAGTATATTACCTTATTTTATTGTTCCATTAAAAATATACATAATATTTTAAGAACTAATAATTTAGAATGCTATATGTAGCACATAACATATACTAAATTAAAAAAAAAAACTTTAAAAAATTCACATGTCTTTAAAAAATCTCAAAATCCTCAATTTAAGAAAATTGATAATTTTTAGGTTTTTAAAGATATATGAAAATTTTCGAGTTTAACATATATTGTGTCATATAACACTTCAGCCGGCACGTTCTTAGAGTGTCGCATGATATTTTCCTAATGGGAGAATAAAGAGGGGTAGCATGTTTCATGAAAAGATAAGGGTTAAACTGAAGAATTTTTTTTCAAATATCAAAATGATAATAAAGTAAAACTTCAAAATCTAAAATAAAAAGTTCTTAATTTTTATTTTTAAAATTAAAATATTCGAACTCATAATATAAAAAGATAGGGACTAAACTCCAGCATTACACTATGTTATTTTAAACTAACATCCAAAAAAGATAACCAGTCTAGTACTAGTAACTGAGGTAGACAGCATAATATAAATAAGTTTAAGTTCTTCTGAGGACTACATTTCCCTAATTAAAGAGGGCATTACACGACATGCAGCAGTCTAGAAATTTAGGTTAAGGTCAATGAATAACCTGTTTCTTCAGTACAACTTTTCTCAGTCGAAGTAGTACCCCTTTGCACCTCTTCCTGTTGTAATAAGATGCTAAAGGATCCCTTGTTGTGAACTGAAACCTCTGATCCTCACGAAGACGACGGCTTTTGCAGTAAAGACCCCTCAGTGTTCTCCTTCATTTACAAAAAAGTTTTTTTCCCTTTTCAAACCAGGGATAGGACATGGAAACATAGATAGAACCCAGAAAAAAAGAAATTCAAAGTGAACAGTCGTGGCATTGTTAAAGATGAACTATCTTACTTGGAAAGGGAGTTTCTTGATGAATTTGGACAAGTCAGGTTGAGAATTTTCAGTAGTCGTTGAGCGACTGGAATTGCCACTAGAGTTCCCATGGTCAAATGTTTTCACTTTCAGCTCCAAAGGGATTGATGGCAATAGGGTTTCGTCTCTGATAATGGTAAAAGTAAACAAACACAACATTCATGGTTAATAATTTAGGGTTTAGGGTTTATGATATGTGATATTCTACTAGCAGTGTATCAATAGTGGGAAAAACTGAATACATAACGTTTGGAAGCTAACCGGGATGTTCCAAAGTTGAAGAAATCATTGTTGCTAGACGAAGATGAAAGATCGAGCCAGGGAACCTGAGGGCGGACCGATTGAAAGGGCACTAGAGTAGGCCTCGGCCTCCAGTTCTCGACGGGGAAACTAGGCCTTGGCCGCTTGGTGCCCGTCATCTAATTCCATGAAATGAGCCAGAAGAATGTGACAGTATGAAAAAGAAAGAGATGTTTATGTATATTTAACAAGTAAAAACATGGGTTTATATAATTATGTGTGATTAAGACAAACATAGAAAACAAAGTAAACACAAACACTAAATTTGCATGCACTTGCCTTGTCTTCCTCGCCTAATAGTGAAGATATGAAGTTGCGAGGAGTAGGTTTTTGGTTTGAAATGGGGCTCTACATGACGATACTCCCCTGGAGAAGATGATTGTGTTTTTGTTGTTGCAGACTGCGGGAAAAGATCCATCTGGTTTTGAATTCATGCATGTCAATATCCAAAAAGAAGAAAAAAAGTGTAATTAAACATAGCCACGAATTTAACAAGAAGAACAAAATTGGGTTTTCTTTTTACCAATGGAAGATGATTCTTGTGCAACATGAGAGGAGGAGGAGATTGTTTGGAAACAAGCACAGGAAAAGAGAAACCAGGAGCCATTTTTGGAGCTTCCTCGCGTTTCCTTGTCGACTCCGATGACAAGCCCCGTGATATCGGCAACAAGGTTTGTTCAGGCAAGAAGACGCCTGATCCGCCGATATAGACCCCTTTACTACGACCAGTGGCAGCACCCACGTTTAACTGTGAACTGCCACCACCATGAATTGCAGTCACTGGGAGTCTGGGAGTGATGAAGAAGAAGAAGAGATCACTCCATTAATCCCATTTCCTTCCCCCAAATGACCATCTTTCTGTTCTTGTTCACGCAATATCTTCTCCATCTCAGCCACTCCTGGTCCTCGTTTGGGGATTCTCTGCTTCTTCGTCATGCTGAAGAGGGTCTTCTTCTTCTTCTAGGTTTTTGTTAGATAATCAACAATGAAGAAACCCCAAGTAAAATTGTCTTGTTTGTCTGAAAAGAAAACTAAAACCTGGCAATCATCGAAACCTTTGTTGTTGTTATTTTGGTCCCTTGATTTTGATTTAAAAAATCTCTATTGCAATTGCCAATGTATAACATGAAAAGGTGCGATTTGTACAGGAAGGTCCATGGCTGATGTGCCTCAAAATGTTTGCCATGTGTACGTGCAGCTGTTGGGAGGTTTTTTTTTGCTCGGCAATATAAATATTATTAAGGAATTGGAAATACAATTCTGAACTAAGTTGTATGCCTCGTTAAAAGAGTGCAAAACAACAAAATGACGACAGAAAACACGAGCAAACACCTACCAAAATAAACTGTTGATCAAAACAGAATAAACTCTCGGCACCACTTAACAACTCACCCCTCATATACAAAAGAAGAACACATACCAACTTGCTATAAAAGCTCACGGATAGCAACCCCTTATTTATCTTTTTTTTTTTTTTTTTTGATAGGAATAGGAAGCCTCGTTAAAAACCTCCCTCATAGTTGACCCTTTCCTAATAGAAAGGATCAAGTAGTGGAGGGAGGAAAAGAGTGCCTCATTTTATTACCAAACCAGATTACATAAGACTTAACAATACAGCAGATGCTTTTACATAAGACTTAACCACTTCTGCTACTTCAAGAACCTACAGCTATAGGAAAATGAACTATACCTAAAACATACAATCAACCGATCCCCTGCTTTGCTAAACTATCTGCCTCCCCATTACAAGACCTTGGAATTAACCTAATTAAACCACCTTTCCCGAAAGGATCAACAGAATTTCTCTAACCAGAGGCAACATGAAAACTGGTGCCAAAGACGGGGTGTGAATCCACTCCACTGCCGACTTACAATCACTCTCAACAACCAATCTACTAGCAGCAGACCATCTTGAAGCTAAAAAAATTTCGATGCCTCTTTTAATAGCCTTTAACTCTGCAACTGGTGGGGGACCTTGACCAATGTTCTCAGAAAAAGTCAGAAGAGTGCAGCAATTCCAGTCCCTTAAAATGCCTCCAATACCTCCAATCGAGTCTTTTAACCTAACAGCTCCATCAACATTCATCTTTAAGAAATCAACAGGTGGAGGAAGCCAGCTAATGACATCATAATCTTTAGGTTTAGGAACAGAAATACCATCAGCTAGTGATGGATCCCCAATTAGCAGATCTTCCTGAATAGGGAATTTAGGATACTTGGCTAGGAACCATTTAGATAACCTAAATCTCACAAGGAAAAAGAGAGACAGCCTATCAGGTTTAATCCTTCAACACAATCGCATTCCTTGCTTTCCAAATAGACCAAAAACGACTCCCGGGATAAACTTCCAAATCAATGAATTCAACCTCAAACTCCCCCACGAATTAAATAAGGAAGGAGGGTCCTGTGGTAGCACAATAGACAAGTCCCAGAAGCTTGCCAGTTTATTCCATAGTTCCCAAACTACAAAACACGAAATGAATAAGTGTTGCACAGTTTCCTCATGTTCCTTGCAAAAAGGACAGAGTACATCTTCTTCTAAGGACATTCCTCTTTTAACTAACTCCATTTTAACTGCAACCTTCTGATGAGCTAACTGCCATAGGAAGGCTTCTACGCGAGGCGGAGACAAACCCAACCACACCCCTTTTGACCACAACTCAATACCCCCAACTTCCTTACCAAGAGCTTTCCTGCACGATTTCACTGAGAATAACCCATCACCACTTGCTGACCAAGAGAGAAAATCTTCAACCGAATCAGTGAGTTTTATTTCCTTTAATTTCATCATCAGATCCAACCATTGTTCCAATTCCCAATCAAACAATTCCTCCTAGTATTAATGTTCCACTGCCAACCATTCAACTCAAAGCTTCCGAAATCAGCAACCCTACCCCATTTGTTAGTTGATAGTGCAAAATTCTAGGGAAAAGAATTTTAAGGGAACCCCATCCACCCATGGATCAGTCCAAAAGATATGGACTTACCATTGCCTACTTGCAACTTCGAAAAAGATCTAAGACACTCACCCGCCGAATCATTCTTCAAAAATTATTAGCAATACTTCTCAAATTCCAAGAAGATTTTGGAGAAATGACCTTACTAATAGACATAGTATTACTACTAATATTATGCTTACTACATAGCACTTTTTTCCAGATGGAATCCTTTTCATTTGCGAACTTCCACACCCATTTCCCCAATAATGCCCGATTAGAAATATTCAAGTCAAGAACCCCAAGGCCACCACTGTTCATTGGTTTGCAAACTGTATCCCAACTAACCCAGTGGATCTTCCTTTTTTCCACACTGTCACCCCATAAAAATCTGGCCATTAAGGAGTTTAATTTATTCCCAACTTTGCAAGGCATTTTAAAGAAAGATAGGAAAAATGTTGGCAGTGAAGTCAACACTGACTTTAATAGAACTGTCCTGCCAGCCAAGGACAGAGAAGAAGCTTTCCACCCCGCTAGTTTTGAATTGAAATTTTTAAGGACAGGATCCCATAAAGCTTCAGAATTCTTCTTAGCACCGATTGGAAGACCCAAATAATCTACGGGAAAACGATCAACAGAGCAGCCCACTTCCACTGCCCAGTCTGATAAATATCCTCATCAACGTTGACACCATACAGTTTACTCTTCTTTAAGTTTAGATGCAACCCCGCCATAATACTGAAAATCCTCAGCACCCTTTTGACATTTTTAATCTGAGTAAGTGAAGCTTGGCAAAAATGATGAGATCGTCGGCAAATTGAAGATGAGATAACCGAAGTGAATCCACAGAATTCCCAATCACAAAACCTTGGAAAAGTCCTTTATCAACTGCTTTGTCTAGCATCAAATGCAGCAACTCACCTACAATATTAAATAAGAGCGGAGAGAGACTACAACCTTGTCTTAGTCCTTTAGCCATAGTAAACTCTTCCGAAGGGGAACCGTTCACCAGAACCGAAACCGAAGCAGAGGAGATACACTGTGAGATCCACGAACACCATCTTGTACCAAAGCCCATCTCCTTCATTGCTCTGTTCAAAATCGGCCATTCAACAGAATCATATGCTCTGCGAAAGTCAACTTTGAAAACAACCCCTTGTAGACCTTGTTTTCTCCAATAATCGATCCCTTCATTTGCAACAAATGCACAATCCAACAATTGTCTCCCTGGTATAAACGCAAACTGGAAAGGGCTAATAATGTCACCAACACAGCTGCTAAGTCTCTTGGATAGAACTTTTGATAGGATCTTATACAAACTTCCTACAAGGCTAATTGGTCGATAGTCTTCAACACTTTCCGGATTTAAAATTTTCGGAATTAGGGTAATAAAGGCGTGATTTACTCCATGCTCCCACATCCTTCCGAAATAAAAATCGTTGAAAAATTCCAGTACTTGCTCCTTTAAAACTGGCCAGCATTTCTTGAAGAAACCCATTGTAAAGCCATCCGGACCAGGAGATTTAGAACTGTCCGAGGATGCTATAGCTTGCCAAACTTCCTGTTCTGAAAACTTCTCCTCTATTTTTGTAGATTGTTCCCTTGACAGTTTAGAAAAATCCAGAAATAAGTTCTCCACTTCCATTGTAGAAATGGAATTAAAAGCTGTCTTAAAAAAAATCAGAAATGTGAGTCTTGATCAGAGACGGGTCTGAAACTACAGTCCCATTAATCTTCAGACTAGTAATTGCATTTCTCCTGTTTCTGTTTAGTGCACACAAGTGGAAAAATCTAGTATTTCTGTCCCCTCCTTTGATCCATCTCGTTCTTGCTCTTTGAAACCAAACGCTTTCTTCAATCCTGTACAACCTCCAGAGATTCGATCTAGACTGCTTCACCTGTTCCCACTCTTGCGGAGAAAGATTGCTACCTTGTGCCTTCAATTCTACCTCATTAATTCGCCCTTCTAAAGTTTCGATAGAGTCTGAAATCCCATTAAATTTCCTGCTTGACCAGTTTCTGATTGACTTTTTAGTTCCCTGTAAAATACTGAGGATACCCCTTCTATTATTCCTTTCCATCAAGTCAACCATTGAAGATTTAACCAAATCCTCGAAGCCTTCTTCCTCTAGTAAATAATTGTAAAATCTGAATGGTTTAGGACCCCAGTCTACATACGAATCCTCCAATGACACCGGATTATGATCTGATATGGACCTAGGCAGTAGCCTTTGAACTACGTTCGGACAGCAGGTCAAAAAATTACCAGAAATTAAGAACCTGTCAAGCCTAACCCAGGTTGATTCTTCCCTGTTGTTACACCAAGTAAAAGTTCCCCCCACCAACGGAAGATCAATTAGATTGGTTTGCTGCAGAAAATTCCTAAATATATCAACAGAATGCCAGTTTTGAGACCTTCCCATCTTCTCGTCCGGATCAAGATATGTATTAAAGTCCCCCCCAATACAAAGTAGATTCGATTGGGCTGAAACAAACTCCAGTAATTCCCTGTAAAAATTCATCCTTTTCAGATTCAGTGGAGGGACCATAAATATTAATAATCACACACTCCTCAACAACATTCTTAAACTTCCCAAATATTGCAATGATCCTGCTACTTAGGTAACTACTGGACACTTTAAATTCATTATCATTCCACATTACCAGCAAACCCCCTGCAGACCCAACAGCTGGAGAAAAGATACATCCCTCGAGAAGACAACCCCCTACCCTTCTCCTTAGTGCCATAGAACAGTTTTCTAGCTTTGTTTCTTGAATAAGTAAAATGCTCGGCTTATTTTTCCTGACTAATTTAGCTACAGCTCTTGTTTTTTCCTTCTTCCCCAACCCCCTTATGTTCCACGAAATAATATTAATGTTACTCATAAATATAACAAATATCCCAAGAAATTCAACTCAAAAAAGCACAATAGCACACCCCCTTATTTCAACAATTCCTACTATCCCCCAATCCTTCCTCAAGATCAATAATTTTATCTAAAAACTCCTTCTTGCCTTCTTTAAATGAGATCCCCAACAACTTACTAACCTCCCACGTAGCCACCGCTTCTTCCAAAAACATCGAAAAGGAGGGAGAAGAAACTGTGTGTAAACTAGCCACCTCCAAAGCTTCCCTAGTCAAAATCCTTCTCTGTCGCCTACTCTCTTTCCTTATAACTGCTCTAGACTGGCAATCTGATCGAGGCACTACCCTGCTCCCTGAATGCTGGTCCAAGTCTCCTACTACACTTTTAAAAGGACCTCCTTCCTCATCGTCGCTAATTATTCCATCTTCCTCTAAAGTTGGGAGCGGTTGGGTGGTCAATAAAGGATTGGAAGCTTTTCTATTATGGTGCAGTACCTCAGCTGGCCGCAACAGCTCTTCTTCTATCTTTGGATCATACCAGAATTTTCTATCTTTTGATCTTCTATATACTCTATTACAAGTTCCTCTATACCCTCTTCCCACCGGAACACTCGTCAAAGCCAAACTTCTGGACAAAATAAACCAACGGACTCCAGCTCCTCTGACCATTAGGAAACGTCCCCTTTCGTACTTCCATTGGTTGAGTTCCAACAGTTTTAATTGAAACATCAGCCTTTTCCTCCTCCACTCCTTTTGCGTTCGTAACCTCATTGTCCAAGGCCACTACATCCTTTATCGATTCTTCATTTGACTTGATCCATTCCCTGTTTAATTGGGGAATAAATCTGCTTTTGGACCCTTCGGCAATCCATTTCAGATTATACGCAGGCCCTGGAGGACATATAATCTTCATGCTTGATTCAGAAATAAAGCTGTTACAATCTTGGGCTTGAGAGTCTAGGCCCAATTCTTCCCTTAGACCAAGTCCAGCATGCTCCCCAGCAGGATATTTTCCTTTTCCCGCAAATCTGACAACCCAACGTCTAAAATATTCATATTTGACTTTTTTGGTAAAAGCTGCTCCCCAACCCCCTTTTGCAACCTACTCCTCTGCTCCTGATCCTGCCAGTTATCTTTCTTCAGCATAGAGTCTTCAGAAGACTTAAAATTTTCAACTTGTTCCAAAGTCAGACGGCGGCCGCACTCTTCCTCGGGAAAATGATTTTCACTGTACCCGTAATTTGAATTTTCACCATCAATCCCCCCGGAAAACTCCTCCGGTTTTAAAAATACCGATCCCAGTATGGCTTTGACCTTGAAAGATCTGCCGTAAGACCCTATTGTGACCATTTCAGGGACATCAAACGGACTGGCGACCCTGATCAAAACTCTTGCTGACGATAAATCTGACCTATTCTTTGAAGAATCCAAGATGCCAATGAACTTTCCCCATTTCTGCACAAGTTTCTCCAAGAACTCTACATTCCAGCATAATAACGGTAATCCCATCAATTCCACGAGACAGAACGCCAATGGAACTCCTTCCTCGTTTAGCAATGGCTCCAGCCAATCAAACCAATAACAGATCTCCTCCTGTTTTCTTGCCCATGTGACAGAGTAGTCTTCAATCGATTTAAAGGTTACAACACAAGCATTCCATGCATAGCCCCATCTCGCTATTTTTACCTGAATTCCTTCACTTGCCAAAGCTTTTTGAACAAATTCTTGCTCGAAGGAATGCTTGATTACCCCTGTTAAAGACCTTTTCACCCAAGTCGAATCCTCCGAGGAGATATGCATCTCCCAGACATTCCTTATCCCATTAGCAGCCTTCGTTATCCTTTTACCATCCTCCTTATTGACATTTCCGCAATCCTCTCTATTGGTCGTTTCCACCACCTCTTTGTATGATCTACTGTCCCTCAGGTTTCTCAAAGATCCAGCTTGCTTCTCACCATTTGTTTTCTCCGCCCTTATTGGGATTGGCCCATCCCTCGTAGATCTGCCTTCAGTAACTTCTCTATTCCTGTTGTTCTGATATTTTTCTAACCCGACTGAAACTTTTTTTCCCATCGATCCAAGTTCCGTTAACACCCTGAATAGCCCTCCTCCTCCCTTCCTCACTTGCAAACTGGACAAACGCGAAAGTGTAATTCTTGTATTTCGGTTTCTGAGTAAAATTTGGAATGAAAATCCTCACAACTTGATCATAATGCTGAAATATTTCCCTTAATTCACCTCTTGTAACCCTCTTGCTAAGATTATCAACGAAAATCGTCCATTTCTCCCCCACAATAAACTGACCATTCGCTCCTTCTCTCTCTAAGTTTTTGACTCTCTCACTCATATTTTCCTCTCACTCATTCAATATTTTCTAACCCCCTTATTTATCTAAAAGGACCTCAATTCAACTTGACTTCTATATGCATAGAAAAATCATCACCGGATGAAGAATTTCGCCAAAGATATTCCAACACCATGGTGTCAATATCGATATTGAAATCCGAATAAAAGTCACAAACGACCAGAGACTCCATTACTTTGGATAACCCAACAAACCAATCAGCTTATACGTCTTTGGAACTTCCAAAACTCTTCAATGCAACAGATAAAGGCAATGAAGACCCCAATCTCCAAATGAGTGCCAAGAATGCAAACACCAACTCCACAAAACAAATGTTACCCCAATGTCCATCAACTAAAGGAACCGATTGCTTCCTCTAAAAGTACAATTCCCAAATTACTTCTTCCTCAGAGCTTTGGATTAATACCCAATACGATGCCCAATTATAATGTTATCCTAGCTTCCTTTATCAAAATATATATCGTCTCACTTTCATGACAGAAACGGAAAGCTACATGACTTATTCATGAATTCTCGACTCGCAAACCACTACTGCACTTGACATCCGCATTCAAAGGCACTATCTTGGATCCTCCTTCCCTGGACTCAATCTTAACCATAACACCTTGATAACATACTGCATCCCACAATACAACAAAGAATGGATTATGAACTCAACCACAAATCATGAACACCAACAAACAGCAAGAAAGCAGGACTACAACGCATCAAACAAAACAAAAACTCCCTACTCAACAATACACCTGCAACATAGATGGAATAGCTCGAGCCTCTTCAATTGATCCCAACTACGAAACTAAATACCCTTAAGCATCGTACCCTCTATCAAATACAAGGGAATGGGCACCTACCTTCAAGAGAACTAGCAATAACAACATAGACCACTGCTTGCAATCCATGATTTCATCTCAAGTCCTTCCTAAAAGTCAAGCCTGCCTCCTCAATATCAGCTCCTCTAACTCATCACCGATTATTTGGATCCCTAAACTTTTTCCCAAAGCCAAAGTTTCCTTAGCTTCTTTATACGCAGCCAACCATCTTTCTTTTAAATCGGAATCAGATAACGACCTTCCTGACAACTCTGAAGAGTCCAGATCTTTTATCTTCAACTTGTGCCTTTTAATCGCTCGATCCCCTTTTGCTTCTACTAGGAACCGACAGAACTTGATCTTGCAGTTTCAATAGAGATCCATACCTTTTTGATTTTACCCAACTGCTTTAATTCTGGAAAGAGATCACCTAAAACTGCCTTCTCAATATCAACTTTGCTAGTTCCCGCCGACTTCGAAAATACTGGATGATTTTGTTCAGGCCTTACACTCAACAACTCATCATATTCTGAAACCCAAGTATTATTCCCATGGCCTTGTCCATTATTAAGATCCTCTCCCGCCAGTACCTCAAAGCCCATATCCTTAATGTCCTTAAGAATCCTCGATTTGTAAAGATCAGCTATTTCTTTTTCATTATCAGCCGGACCCACAAATTTGTATTTGTCTATAGTCTCAACTGAACCTGCAACCCAATTTAAAATCTCCCCAGCCGCTCGCTCCTTCTAGAAACTGCACGTGATCCATATCATCATTATTTGCAGAAGAAACTGTACCTCTACCCACATTGAGCCCATTGCCTCTAATTTTCAATGCACTATTCCCATCATTCTTGCATGCTTCCCGATCGATATCACAGAGCTCCTCATTAAATATTTTCTCCTTTAGAGAAGTAACACCCTCGTCGTTCTTTTTTCGACGACAAGATCACCATATTCTTCTCGGAATAGCTCCCCAATGAGGTCTGGGTAGAATCTGACCCATTCGACCTCCCTTCTACACATGATTTTTGAATCTGAACATCACTACCTTTTCTCTGCGACACTGAATTAAAAGCAGCCTCCTCCGCTGAATTTCCACCTTCATCGCCGGTCGAAGAAGAGCCCACAGGAGACGAACCCCTTGAATGAGCGCCCTCCTTGACAATAACAATATTCTCTTCCACAGCCACCCTCTTCTTTGAATTTACACACCCGAAGGACTGTAAACTTGAACTATCTATCAGACCAAATTCCCTGACTCGCACACCAAATTTAGAATTCCCCACCGAAATATCCGCGACCAATTCAATCTTCGCTTTTTGAGCAGTGGATATCAACACCGATACTTTCTCGCAGTCCACTTGATGAATGGGGTTCTCACCAAAAGCTTCATAATCCCCCCACAGTTCAGCAAGCTTTCTCAAGTTAGTTCCATTCCAGCAATGCAGTGTAATACCTGAGAAACGTTACCCTTTTCTCAATTTTATAATCCTCTGTCCACAACACTACTTCCACAAAGATTTATCTCAATTATGACCAATGCATGTCTTCAAGGGTTAAACACAGGTCTTCATCCTCGATGGTAAGCAAGAAAGCCTTCCCCCCTAAACGCTGCACTTTTATCTCGCTCAACCCCCATTTTTGCAATCTGTCTATTATACTCCCAACACTACACACTGTGGCCATAACCCCCACAAGGCATTTCCTCAGCTTCAACACTTCACCTTCATCAACGTGACCAATGATAGATTTACGACCTACACCTTGCTGATTAGATAAGTCACCATAACTTCTTTCTACAACCGATGTCATATCCTTCTTAAACCTCCATTCCATGTTCTACCTAGCACCTTGCCTAAAAAACCCTTTTTCTTGTATCTTGCCAAGCCCGTTGCAATCTTGCTACCGAATAATGTCAGTCCATTCAACTTCTAGATCAACCTCTCAGCTTCTTCCTTACAACCTACTCTCACAAAAGCAAATCTCGTGCCACCCCTACTCCTTCTGTTTGATATGAACACACTAAGAGCTCGACCATATCGACCTACCACTTGCCATAAAACTTTCCAATGTAGTCCTTCCAGTAACCTGTCCACGAACAGAGTAGTTTCTTCGACCATTTCTTTCAACGCCACTCCCCACTTTAGAATAACATATTTGCATGGAATTTACAGGACTTTGTGATGGGTCCCACTGTGCTAATACTAGTAATGAGTAGGGATAGGACGATCTTCAAAGCTTTGAATCCTGTTTGATGATCTCTGCCTTCCAAGCATCCATCTGAAGGAACCAAATCGTGATCCTGATCCTGAATCCGATGGTCCACCGTCCTTTTCCTCTTGGGCAGCATTATGGGACGCATGCTCCTCTATCGGAGGAGCCGTTGGTCGAACCCTATCGACTGACTCGACATCCTCCGCCTGAAACATCGACTCAGCCACGGTGCGACATACGGGACACGTCGTATGTGACCCAAGCCACGTATCTATACATACACTGCACGTGAAATAAGTGGTTACAATTCGGTAAAAGCCTAATAATGGACTCCTCCGAGATGTTCCCCAGACAAACCGAGCATTCTTTCGGCTCATTGACCTGACCAGCGTATGTGAACATCGGCAATGAAGCTATAACCAAAGGGTCGAGCCCCGTTTTGGGTGATTCGACGATGCGAATTTCATCGACAGGTGCAATTTGATCGGTTCTCGAACCGTAAAGTTCAGCTTGACGTCTAAGAAGATACCTTGCATAGAGATGAAGTAAGATCATGAGCATCACCACTCCGACCAATGATCCCACCGCCGCCAACATGATCCTGCGGGTGACACGGAAGGTCCGATCATCATCATCATCTTCCGAACCCATAGTTTTGGCTTAGTTTCTCATCAGCGGAACCTTATTATATATCAGTTTATCGGAGAACGAACCGTCTTTGTTTTTAGGTTTTGCTCAGTGTGAAATGCAAGAAACGTTTCCCCTTAAAAGAACACATAAATTTCAAAGCAAGATAGCCACGGGTTCAACACTTTTCAATTTCATCCGTATCTTGAGTTTGACTTTACAACTGCTGATATTGCCTACAAATTAATTATTCTTTGTGATTTGTCCATATAATAATGTCATAAATGACTCATTAAAGGGTGTTAGCTACTAATAAATTAAGAGATATTCAATGGCATAAGATAAAATTTTTCCAAGGATTTGGTGTAAATTTTTCTAATGCCGCTTGTTTTACGTAACTCATTAGATATGTTGACATTAGGTTCTATATAAAGACAAAGATATTATAGATTTTTATACTATGACCATCATTTGAAATGGTAAAGTCCTAACTTGAGCTACAACTTCCCTTTTTCCCCTATGACGATTTTCTCTTGTATTTCCATTCTCATATTATGGTTTTTATATTTAATGGAAGTCCTTTAATGGTGCAATTAGTGGGTCTTCGAATTAAATAAAAATATTAGATTGACTAAATTCCAGGAAGTATAAGTAATAATTATCAAGTTTCGTTATCATTGTCAATCGGGTCCCGTAGCTCAGTTGGTTAGAGCGTTGGTCTTATGAGCCGAAGGTCGCGGGTTCGAGCCCCGCCGGGACCAAGGGTTTTCCCTCCTCTCTCTTCTGTTGCGTGTTCTTGCTCCGCAGGGACCATTTTGTTTTTCTCTCGTTTTCGGCCCATAGACCACGCAAATCAAACCCCACATCATCAACGATGAAAGCGCAAAACTGTAAACCCCATTTACCATTTCAAAGGTCCGATCTACCATTTATTTTATCCAATAAAACAAGTGGTTGGTATTCCACAAAGACTCACCTGAAAGTAAAACCCCAAAAAACAAAATTACATGTAGAACAAAAACCCTCATCCATTTTGCTTCCAATCTCCCCCAATTCGACACTGTTGAACAATGATTAATGGCCACAACCTGGTTTCATCAGACAATTCCAACACTTAGATATTCCATTGCAACAACACTCTCACCCACTAAGACAACCTCTCCCAGCTCTTCATTATCGGTTGTTGAGCCCTCAAAAACACGTTTAATATGATTCCTCTTTGTTTTATTTCCTTGGGACCAAGAAGGAATGGGGAAATGGTTGTAATATTGTAAACAAGAAAGGAGAAAAGCTGGTGCTGGGCCATGGCAATCCATATTCCACAACAACCCTTGTCTTATTTCCTTCTTCTTTACTACAACATCTACTGTTGTTGTCACCACCTTTCTCTCTCTCAAGTCTTTGCTTTCAGTGCTTGCCTTCATCTAAAAGTATCTCTTTTTTTCTTTGCTTTGACGGCTTTGTTGGTATGTCCATTTGTAATCCATGTTTTTTGGTTTGTTTTCTTATTGATTCTGCTCTTTTTTTTTTTGGGGAAAAATTGTCATTTTGGATATCCAGGATTGATAGGGATGGCCGGGATCTGGGGTCTTTACGTTAGTAGTATTTGTTGAATAGAATCAGAGGAAGAAACAATTTTTTCCCTCTAAAAATCTGATGTTTATGGGATTTTTTGTTCTCTGCTCCTCCATTTTTATGATTGATACAACTGTCTTGTTTTTGTTATTCAAATAGATGGGTTGACTTTGTTGGGTACCTACTTGTTCATTTGTGAAAAGAAGCTTGGCTGGTTAGGTCAGTTAATCACTTTCATGAACAAATGTTCCAACTTTCAAATCAATCAGTGTCCATAGCTCTAAAAAAATCTGAACTTCCAAAACATTCTGGCATGTTCGTACATTAGACTGAGTTATTTGTGTTCCTGTTGTTTCTGCTTATATTTGCATACTGTCCGTTTGATTTTCAGTTGGATAGAGAGATTTGCTATCAGCATGGGTTCTGGAAATGTGTTGAAGACAATTATAAAGATAGTGAAAGATGACAGCTCAAAGCAAGTGAAGGTACATATCGTTTACCAGCTTTCAGAAGTTTTTGTTTAACAATCATAAACTAAGCTATGCAACGTTCTCTGCTATCAGGTTATAAATAAAATCTGAGTTTGCTTCTCGAATAATTCATTTGCAGTTTGAATCTTTTGGATTAATGTCATCCGAAGTGCCAAATGTTTTGGAAAGCATATTCTTATGTACCATTGGAATGACAAGTTTTGAAGCTTAGTTACTTTTATATCTCGCAGACGTCGAGCTCCTATTCAGCCATTTGTGTTACTTCTAGCACCTTCCCTGATACCATTTGCTATATTCGGTTTATCATATCATTGATTTGTGTTATCTGGGCTTACGGCTAGTGTTGGATTTGGTTGTAATTTAAAATGTTTTAGTACTTTTTTGGAGGATCATACTTCTATATCTATGTCTGAATGTAATGGCACCTGTGTTGGACATGGATATGTTAGGAACAATAAAGGGAGTAGATAACACTGCTTTATTGTGGCCTTGTAATTGGTCTTATTTGTCTGGTGCAGGGATCTTCAGCTTCTACAAAATCCAAGGGCTCCAAATGTAAGAAACGCCAGCGAAAAACAAGGTTTATTAGTAGAGATGCCAATGCTCTTGGTATACCTATTGAGGATTTAGCAGCAATTCGGATTCAGACTGCATTCTGGGCTTATAGGGTATGTCGATTTTGTTAAAGATACGATACAGACAGATATGAAAGAATATCTCCAAAACTTATTAATTAATATTGCTTAATACAAGAAGTATATATAGAGTACTTAGCTCACTAACTAATGCTAACAACTTATACAGCTGTACAACAGTATTTTAACTACACAACTAACTCAAAACTACCTACTCCGTAACAGATTTGCACATTCTATAAAATAAATCACAATATGCCTGCACATGTAGCAGTTACTCTTCTATATGTATGTATCCTATGCTTGCATAATTGTCTTACCGGAATTCCTCACAGAACATTCAAAAACCTCTTCCAGTTGTAACCGTTGCCTGTTATCGTTAGAGAATAGAATGTTGGTGATATGTGAGGTATTGCTGAAGAGATTTACCTGCCTTTTAGTAAATTTTAGTGCATCTCGGTACTGGCTATGTTTTGTTTACGAGTTTAAACAGTGGGGATCTATTGAATTTCATGTTTGACCCCTTTTAAGATCATGGCCGAGTCGCCGAGTTAATGAACAGGACAAAAGAAAATAGAAGCAATATAGGCTCATGGTATTTGCTAATTAATCGATGTCATTACAATGTGCTTATCTCCTTTGTTTCTGAATTCCTGTTATATGTTGATAATGGAAGTGTGTCTTTGGTTCTCTCTCTCTCTTTTAATTCACTTGCAGATATAACTATAAGATTATGTTCACTACAAACTTTGTAGAATGGTTTAATAATTTTTTTCCTCGTGATGCTGGCTAGAAAAACTTTACGTCAATTGAAAGGTACAGTAAGATTACAGACTAAAACCCAAACGCATTCCATCAAAAAGCAGCTACAACAACATTAGATTATCTACATTTCTGGAGCAACATACAGACTCAGATAAGAGCTCGTCGAATGTGTATGGTAACTGAAGGCCATCGTAGACAGAAGAAAATAGCTAATCAACTAAAGCTTGAGGCAAAAATGCACGAGCTGGATGTTAGATCAAGAGCCCTGGCTCATGAGAACTTGCATGGACTATGATTTTGACAGCATGCTTCGTTAATGCTATCATCTGTCAGCTGACCATTTTCTGATTGAGTCTTTTGTTCAAATCTGTTAATCCTAAATCACAAGAAATCAATCATCTTAAACGTATACTGGAATACAATTAATGAAGGTTTAAATCTATGATGGCCTAGAATTTTGACTGCAATGATTTATTTGTCTATTTTTTTCCTAATTCTCTTTAGTTGTTGCTTATATTATTTCTGATTTTTATTTGCATCACATTTCTTGCATGCTAGCTTTATGTATCTGTATCTTAGGGGCTATTTCCTTCTTCAGCTTTCGCGAAGGATCATATAGAGACCTCGATTTGTGTAATATTTGCAAGCTCATAATTTTCCTGAGGCTGGCATTTTTCACTTTTCTTTCTCTGTTGCTTAATCTTAAATGGATGACAGGTAGAATGGTCTGGTGGCCCAGACACAAAGGAAGAAATTCTGACAAAGATACAGACGAAAGAAGCAGCAGCTGTTAAGCGGGAACGAACCATGGCATATGCCTTCTCCCATCAGGTATGCGATCCATAGAGGTTGTATTTTATTTATTTATTTGTGAAAGTTATGCTAACAGTCAGTATGGGATATGCATTGTTTGCAATGGAGGGCTCCCAAATCTATCAATAATGGGATCAGCAGTTATAAACTTGCTAATGCTAATTGGGGTTGGAGTTGGGTGGAACGATGGATTGCTGTTTGGCCATGGGAAAGGTGGCTCCCTACTCCGTCGGTGACACCTAAATCGACCCCTAAGAAACCTCAGAACAAACAGACAGGCAAGGCAGGTAAAAACTCAGATTCGCCGAAGCCAAAAGCATCCCTTTCAGCTAAACCCCCACTGTCCAATGGGAAGGGAACTGTGAAGCCTAGGAGGTTGTCTTACCCTGGTGCTGAGAAACCGGCTGCACGTCGAGAGAACACTGAAGCTGAAAAGCTAAAGCATCGAAAAAGAAGAGAGAACCACTTAGCTGCAAGCTAAATATATAGCTCGAATGTCGATTCAGTTTCATAAGTGAGCACATTTGTTTTCTTTTAGTTGGGTGTGGAAAGGTACATATATTTATACTATGCTTTTGCTTCTAGGCCCTTTGTAGATAATAATAGCAAGAAAGTATGCTTTGTATGAGAACAGAAATGGTGATTCTTTCTATTTGTTATTTTTGTTTTATTGCCTTTGAACTTCTGTTTGGCACATGCATAATGGAAAGGGACACTATATTTTGTAGTGATGTAATTATTTTTTACATAAATCTCAGTATTTTTTCGAAGTTGAATCGAGTTGGACCCTATCGGGAATTGCCGTGCCAGCCTTTTTCTTTAGTTGAGCTGCCCCATAATGGATATTGGATAACTCCAGCACTACCTCAAAGATGCAATCTATAATTGACAGCTTAGAACCAAATAATTAATTGAAGCTTTATTATATAATCAACAACCAGCTTCCTTTAGGCCCCTTGCTATCATTAGCCCCGTCCATTTCTAGCTCCACAAATGGAGTAAAGGCTACTAAACCATAAAGGAAGTTCATTTAAAAATTCTGGTTCAAAAAGAAAAAGGGGTAATTATTTAGCTCCTTTCCCTCTGCATACAAATTTGTACGGTACAGAATTTGGCTCCATTCTCTTCTCCATTCATGGCTTCATCAACTTCTTTTCTGAATAGCGGGTCACCTTCATTCCCATCGCAGAGACTCTTAGCTTTGGATCAGCAGCTGCGTCATTACAAGGCACCAACGAGTTCCTTGGATGACAACGTCGAACAAATGATCCAGGAAGCAGCCGGAGAAGTTGTCCAGAACCCGGAAATGTTTAGACCCAAAAGAGCAGCTGTTTTGATATGTCTCTTTGAAGGAGATGACGGGGATTTACGTGTCATACTAACCAAAAGAGCTTTAAGAATGTCTACTCATTCAGGTCAGTTTGAATTTGTGTACTAGATTTGAGTTGTAGTAAAATGGTTTTATCGTGTACTTTGTTTCAGGGGAAGTTTCATTGCCAGGTGGGAAAGCAGAGGAAGGGGACAAGGACGACGACGATACAGCCACTAGAGAAGCTAAAGAAGAAATTGGATTGGACCCTTCACTTGTTAATGTTGTTACTGTTCTTGAATCATTTTTGTCCAAGGTATTGAAATATTTATCTTATACCTGCAATTCACATTGTATTCTGCTTTGGCTTTCAACTATTTGCAGATTAATGGTTTTCTGTGCAGCATCTTCTTAGAGTTGTTCCTGTTATTGGCATACTTCACGACCGAAAAGCATTCAAGCCTAAGCCGAATCCCGCTGAAGTGGATGATGTGTTCGATGCTCCACTGGAGATGTTCATTAAGGTTTTTCTCTTCATCTCGTCCTGGTACTGTACTTGTTTTCACCCTATCTAAAACAGTGTATGATTTGTTTGGTTCAGGATGAAAATCGAATCGCAGAAGAGAGGGAAATGATGGGAGAGAAGTATCTTCTTCACTTCTTTGACTATGAAACCGAGGATAAGAAGTATTTAATATGGGGTTTAACTGCTCGTATTCTGATACGAGCTGCTTCGGTGGTCTACCAGCGACCACCGGATTTCCCGGAACAGAGTCCCAAGTACAAATTTCTTAGAGATGGGAACAAAGTTACTGTTATGCATTGAATAAAGTTGCATTGTAATGCAAATCTATGTAATACACGTCCAAATGGGACATATATTGAAAAGTAATAATCCAGCAGAAAATCTAAACAAGAGTTCATTCAAAGCAGTATTTCCTTCATTTTGCTCTTCTTTCACATGATTAGATTAGACCAAGACTCTACGTTGATCTGAATGTCTCTTAATGTTAGATTAGGAACATAGCAAAACAATTTGGAAGCAGCTAAAGATGATGTCTAGAAAAGGGCTTTAGTATGCATCTCTCACCCGAAAACCTCGTAGAATTTCTCTATGACAAGTAAACCAGAGTCGATAGACTCCAAAGGATCCTTGCGAAGACGGTGTCTTAAGCAGTTGGGGATGACGGTGGCGATATCTTCTGCGGTGACTTTCTCTCTTCCCTTAAGAGCTGCAAGAGCTTTTGCAGCTCGGTTAGTGACAATATCTCCTCTCAATCCATCAACATTCAGCTCAGCACAAACCTTGGAAATTTTAACCTTTAGATCCTGATCGATCTGAACAGAAGAAAGATTGCTTCTAGCTGAAGCAATCTGCTGTTGGAGCTTCTCTTGCTCTGCCTTGTACGATTCACGGAATTCTTTTGGGTTTTTATCGAACCGGGCTCTCTCCTCCACAATCTTCACTCTAAGCTCAGCATCCCTCACTGTCCCGACTTGAGCATGCATTCCGAATCGATCAAGAAGCTGTGGTCGAAGCTCACCCTCCTCTGGATTACCCGATCCAATCAGAATAAACCGTGCAGGGTGTGAGATCGAAATGCCTTCCCTCTCAACTGTGTTCCATCCCGACGCAGCAGAATCCAACAGAACATCCACCAAGTGGTCATCCAAAAGATTAACTTCATCGACATAAAGAATCCCCCGATTAGCTTTAGCTAGAAGCCCAGGCTCAAATGCCTTGACACCCTCGGTGAGGGCTTTCTCAATATCAATGGTTCCACAGACCCTATCTTCGGTAGCACCTAATGGCAAATCGACCATGTTGATTTTAGTCATTGTAATAGCCAGCTCCTCTCCTTTTGTGACCTTTTCTCTGACTTCTATGCCCATCGCTTCTGGATCTTCGGGGTCCGAGTTATAAGGGTCACCGAAGACTACCCTGATTTCGGGTAGTAAATCGACCAAGGACCTAACAGTTGTGGACTTGCCAGTTCCCCTATCACCCATTATCATGACACCACCAATCTTGGGATCAATCACATTCAACAAGAGACACAGTTTCATCTCATCTTGTCCTACTATAGCAGCAAAAGGATATACTGGTCTCTGACTCTCTTTAGCAGCAATCTTCCGAGCCTTCATTCACATAAATTCAAAAGCTATTATTATCTATATCCACCTGTTCTTCAAATACCCAATTCGCAAGATGCCATAGAAACGGGGAAAAAAAACATTTTCTTCAAAATAAAACAGCCAATTAGTTACCTGTTCAACTGGGTTAACTTCAGTGGCAACATTAGTTGCTGCAAAATGAAATCGAGGCATACCGTTTCTTCCTTGAATCCCAATCCCTCCGTACAGTTTCCTCCCATAACCCTGGCCTGTACCACCATAACAAAGCTGTACAATCTTAGTCCATGGAAAATACCCAAAGTCTAATACACTGATAAAAGCAAAGTACATGGTGGGATTGACTGGATAGAGAATTGTACCTGGGTTGATGGAGATGGAGGGAAAAGCAGGCTTTGATGAAGGAGAAACGAGAGACCGAGAAGCTAAGATTGCAGTTGAGGTTCCAAGTACGGAGGCCATAGACGCCTGCAACTGTGGTTTTGTCTTCTTTGACGAAGAGTGTTGTGCGTCTGCCTGTTACAGCGTTGTGCAATTTGTTTGAGTCGTGGAGCGTGACTTGTTTCTTACTGGTTTTTTTGGTTGCGGATAAGAAGATAGGTTTTCATTCTTTCGTTGCCTTAGTTTTTTGTCATATTGTTAAAATAAAAATAAAATCAATTTTTTTAAAAGAGTTAATTATTATATATGACTTCAATTTTGATTTTAAATCGGCATCTCGTAATCACAAAAAATTTAATTGAATAAGGTGAAATCTCATCTTAAAATACAAGACAAGAAATCTTAATCACTTGTCGTATATAAAAATTCATCTTAAATTATATTCTAAAATAAGGTAAATGAAATTTGATTGAATAAAAAAATTAAATTATTAACTTATAATGATTGATATTTATATATCTCCTAATTAAATTGCAAATTATCCAACTAATCATACAGCAAATTACTAACTATTGTAACTAATTCATACTTCAACATATTAGATAAACAGCCAAAATTTATGCTTCCGCCGGATGTTCCACGTTGGGATGAATCTTTAGTGCGCCAAATCTTTCTACCTGCTGATGCTGATCAAGTGTTGCGATGTTCAATAGCCCCGATTCATTCTGATGTTTTGATTTGGAGCGGGCATTCATCGGGGTTCTATTCCACTCGGTCGGGTTATGCCTGGTTAATGCAGCCACTTCATTCGACTAATCACTCATCTAGTTTATGGCTCTCTCTCTCTCTCGTCTTCAAACGTTGCCCAAGGTAAAAATATTTTGTTGGCGCCTAGCTCATGAGGCTCTCCCAGTTGGCCATCGTCTACTTTCTGCTGGGATTGGAGATGGAAGCTGCTGTCTTTGTGGGGCTGTTGATGAAACGGTTTTACATGCTATCCGTGACTGCCCCGATGCTTATTCTGCATTGTGCTCTGCTGGCTTTTCCCTGTTCCTTCTACGGTTACCTGCACAATCGTGTCTCCACTGGTTAGTCACTATGATGAATGCTCTTAACGCTTCCCGGTTTGCCTCTCTTCTTGTGTTGCTTTATTCAGTGTGGCATCGACGGAATGTGTATTTTCATGATCATAAGCTTTTACCAATCTGGTTTATTGTGCCTGATAGCCGAAGTCTTCAAGATGCCTATCTTAATGCTGTGGGTAAAGTTATCTCTTCACCCATACAGATTAATGCTGTGTGGTGTAACTTGTAAGCCACCGCCGGGAGTGTTCAAGGTCAATGTTGACGGCGCTTGCTTTGCCAACCAATCTGCTTATGGGGGGGTGGTTATCCGTGATAATGAAGGTATGATCGTTGCTGGCTGCACTCGGGTTTTGACAGCATTTGGAGATCCCGCCATTACAGAGGCTGCTGCTCTAACTGCAGGTATTCGGCTTACTATTGATTTACGACTACCACATGTTGAGGTCGAAAGTGATGCTCTTAATATTGTCCGTCAACTGCTTCAGCACTCAACGGATATCTCTGTGGTCAATTACCATCTGAAGGAGGCCAGATCGCTCCTTGCTCGTGCTCCTCATATCCGGGTGTCACATGTTCGGCGTTCGGCAAATTTGGTCGCTGATCACCTTGCATCTTGGGCTGCTACCTCTGCTGCTTCCATTGATTTCACTTATGATTATCCATACTGTGTTTCTAATGCTGTAATTCAGGATGCTATTTCTGGTTAATAAATGGGCAGCTTTTCTTTTCAAAAAAAAAGTTTCAAGCCTTTGAAAAAAGAAAAAAAAAAGCTTGAAGAATGATTCCGCCTCCAACCTTCCCTCCATTTAAAAATATTCCCAAACTCTAAAACCATTATTTTCCTGATTCAACCCACCAAAATTCCCTCCATGAAACCAAAGCTTGCAGAACATGTAAAAATCCCAAAACTGCTTTGAAGTTTTAATTGAAAATCTTTCACTCCCCCCTCTCCAAAATCCACCATTACTTATCTCTCCTCTTCACCTCTCCACACTCACTCCCATCCTCCTCCTCCTCTCTAACAATCAAAAATCAAATGGGTTTTCTCTCCCTTAGAAAAAAGACAACAAGGAGAATATCCCTCCTTTCTCCCCCAGTAAGCCTACGTTTGTTCTCACAAAACCTTCACCCTCCAACACTCCGAAAAGGAGGTTAAGGAAACCCCTTCATGACATTACCAATCTCATTCTCCCATAAATCTGTTCAACTCAGGTTCAATCCGATACGACAATTCCTGTTTCTTCCCAAACTTTGGTTTCTCAACCCAAATCTCGAAAGAGAAGAGCTGGAAACGAGGTGGGACCAATTTGCAAGAAGACTACTTTGGTGTACATATGTTCCGATAGCTCAAACATCAGATTCATATATTTTACTAGGGTGTTAACTACTCAATCAAGCTGATTGAGGGTTCATTTTTATTTTCTTGTACGAGTGCCTGGCTCTAAATCATACATCATACCCAAATATGCTATAATATGTCTGGAACTCAAATTGAAATCATACCTTTTGTATCATACTACCGAGCAAAAATATGATTGGACTTTCTCCTTTTTCATGTTTTCGAACCTGCTAAGTGATTGGATTGATCATGTAAAATAGGCCTAATGAAATTTTAGGATATGGGTGCTTTGGATTTTGTAAGATTTATTAAATCCGATCAATTAGAAGTGATAAATATATTTTGATCGGATCATTTGAATCATGGATTCAAATCTATATTACATATACAGACTTAGAGTATATACATATACACGTCATTGGATCATTATTTAAGTTAAAATTATAAATATTTAATTTGTAATGTTGAGTTCAGGTTATTTGAATTTATAATTTTGATTATTTTTTAAGTTGAATTGTTGTAAGTTTAATATTTTAAATTTTAATTCTATTCAAAAATAAGAATTTTAATTTTAATTATTTTAGATTCATATTTTTTTGGTTTAATCATTGGTTTTTGATTTATTAATCTATTGATTCAGATAAGATATTGTATAAACCTATTCTAAGGTAATCTTTTTAACCAATTTTTTTTTTTCATTTACAACTTCAAGATTCGAATCTCTGACATTGTTTAAAGGATCTCGTGTCTTATCTAATTAGACTAATTGGTTGTTGGTAGATTTAGATTTCTTTTAGAATTGAATTTATTTAATTCAAGTCTATCTGTGTTTGATTATTAATTTTTTTTATTAAATCAAGTTTAAATTCGGATAGATTGAATTGAGAATCTTTACATTAGGATCAAAATAATGATTTGGTTTCACTATGATTTGGTTATCAACCTATGAGTGGGAGAGTTTATTCTTGATCGTTTTCTTGGCACACTATACAGGTGAAGCACTCAATAATGTAAACAAACAATAGATGGTGTCGTAAGCATAGTCACTTTGATAGTGGATTTCACATATGCTCCAACCTTGCAATAAAGATATATATAGGTATGTTAAAATGATCCTTTTAGTCACTAAGCTTTTAAAAGTTTATAAAATAATTATTAGATTTATTAAATTATTATACAATAATCATTAAAATTTATCGAACTATTACAAAATAATCATTGTGACGTTATAACAAGTGTAAAGTTCGATAGATTTAATGATTATTTCATAACAGTTTAATAAAACTTGATAACAACTTCATAATAATTTGATAAATTTAATGGTTGTTTTATCATTTTTAAAAGTCAAATAACTACAATAATTATTTGAATATGGTTCATTTAGCTCTAGTAAATTTTACCCTGAAAACATTGGATGACTCAAACTTTGGTCTACCGAAGACAAAATAAACGATCAGGAGAGTCGGTTGTTTAGTTTTCTACACTTCCGTCTTTAGGAGAACTCGAGAAGACGTGACTCTTCCATGCTCGAAGGTGGATAACGAGAAAAAGGAAGTTAAAGTTGAGGAATGCAAGTCAGCTCTATTAAATGCTTAAAAATTATATTATTAGTATATATACTTACACTAAATGTTTATGTATCCGCCATCAAAGTCATCTAATGCTGAAAATTGTGTGCATCAACTACACTTTTATGATGATAATGTCATGCTTTTTGAGCCTATATGCACTGAATATTCACAGCTTGGACCCCTTACAAGTCTTTTGAGTATCTAAAACGGTTGGAAGAAAATGGGTAGCCGGCGATTTCTTGCATGTTTGATACTGATAATGTACTCAGTTTCAATGCCAGAATGTCGCCTTCTTAATCCCAACATTGATGTGGTAAATCCAAAAAGGCCTCTTCGATTGTTGTCCCTTGCCACTAGTTCAGGGAAGGTGTATCAGTTCGATGCAGAGATCAGAGAAGAGTCCGGAACAGAAAACATCTACGAGTCGAAACGCCGAAGTCCCGGTGGTCCAGATCCGAGACATCACTGATTTCAACATTATCAGCAGTCGTTTTCATAAGAGTTATATGTAGTTATCGGCAAAATGCAAATAAAATTGCTATCAGAACTGTGTATTTGTAAGACATTTGTATCTGATCCATTGTGCATCTTCTTTGATTTTCATATGGCATTTGAAAGACAACTGATAGATGATAGCTGGTAGTTGATTCCAGTAGCTAATTTAATCAACTGATTTGATTAGTTGATTTGAGAAACTGATTTGATTAACTGTTTATATAGAAGTGTTTGATAAAATTTAGCTGATAGCTGATATGGATAAAATGACAAAGAAGGGTATGATATATTTAGTTGTTAAGTACATATATATTTTACAATATTTTAATCTTTATTGTGGTGAAATTATTCAGATAAAATACTTTTGACAAGGAATTAAAAAATTCTTTAACAAAATTAGTAAATATTTTTGAAAAATTTGAATATATTTTTTAAATTTAATATTTATAAATATTAACCTTGTGAGATTGATACATACTATTAACTTTGTATAAAATATCAACACTATATGTTTTTTTACTTTCATGTTTTGCTGTATTTTCTTAACTAAAATATATTTGAGAATCTGCAACTAAAAATAGAATAATAAAATAAAATTTCACTAAAATATATTAGGATGAAAGCTTTTTCTTTAGATTAGGTTTTATGGAAAAGATGTAATTATGGGTAAAAAATAAGGTCAAATATGTCATTTAACATCTTATTTTGCTAACAACTCTTTCAAACCGCTGGATTTTCCAATGTTTTCATTTTCATCTTATTTTGCACAATAATCTCTTTTAAAAAAAAAAGTGTTAACCAAACACTAAAAATAAAGTGTTTGAATGCCAATGAGCTATTTATGCTCAAATAAACTAAAAACTCTTTAAAAAGTTGTTTACCAAACCAAACACCCCCATATTGTTTTTGATGTCTATGGTGTGTCGGATGATTCAGAGAAATGGATACTCTTCAAATCTTAGTAAACTCTTTAAACCAAGCTCAATTAATTTACAACCCTAACCGAAACACATATAAATCTTATTATTCTCTTTGGATGGTCATCTCCTCAAAGATTTGTCACATTAAAGTATGATTCCATGTACCAACAATAGTATATACAGTAGAATGAGACACTAGTATCTTAAGTAATGTCAAAGACTCAAATCATGGTGTTGTGAATAGAAAAAAATTAATTTGGAAGAATTGTTCCATATAGGCCTCTGCAGTAATCAATCATCCTATAATAGGCTTTTGCAGTACCCATTCATCCCATAATAGGTTTTTATAATACTCGATCTGGATTAATCAATAAATAGATTAAATATCAAAGGTTAAAAAAATCATGGGAATAAGGGTAAACATTCTATATGCAATACACATATATAATGTAAAAAATTCTATAAAAAACATATATCATAGAGGGATTTGACTCAAATTTTAAAATAAATCAATTAATTACTAAAAGATATTACAACTCAACTTTTTTTTGAATTTTTTTTCAAGTCGAGCTAATGAAATTACGAGTCGAATCAATTTTTGTTAACGTTGAATAAAGTTTGAACAATTTATTTATGTTTTTAAATCGAATTGAGCTTTACTCATCCTACTTTAAGCTTACCCCAAATAACATTACACCATATAGTGGTGGTTTTTCCCCTCGGTTTACATATAAACTCAGTTTGTGTTGTATAAGATTCAAAAGCAGATGCAGTTGCCATCAATAATTTGGCTATTCTTTATCATGAATCTGAGGCTACAATAGCAGCAGGAAACCACTTGAAACCAGAAAGAGATGTTAATTACTGCAGATATATAGTAAAATATTCAGTGATAATCAACCCTTTTAAATCTTGAACCACTGACGAAATGCCTTAAGTGGGTCACCAGGGTCAATATCAGCAAAAAGTGGGAGATCAACTTCTAGCATTTCAAGGCTTAAACCTCCCTCATTTAGCTTCTTCAACACTTCCTCGAACACAACCTTGTTGCCCTCCTGGCTCAGGTGCAAGCCATCACTGCAGTTCCACAAACAGCATGTATATCAGTCACAGAATATGTTGCTTCGATAATTTATGAATTTTCTTTATTTTCGATTGATAATATGATTTTGATCCTTAAAATTTTTAAATTTAATCCTAACATAAAATCATGTATCCGTACTCGATGACGAGATGTTAACGTTAGATATACCTAAGATAAGCTTTATGCCACTCAGGATACTGCTGCATCCTGGTCCAAAGATCCACCACAGGGATAGCACATTCCACAGCAGTTTCAACACATGCCTTTGCAAAACACCCAGCAGATTCGTTTGTCCTCTCGGGCAAACCCAATGGATTCTCAACGTAAGGATGCCTGCAAGCATCAATGCAGGAAATTCATTTTCTTTTAAAGACAACGTGCAATGTACAATGCAGGTTAAGCGGATCAATATAAATACCTAATTCGTGCATCTTCGTCAACCGGAGGAGGAGTAATTAGGAGAATGAGAGCCTTTGGCCACCGATTCTAGACACCAAAACAGAAAGCGAAAGATCATGAAAGAGGCAAAATATGAGTAGGACCGGCATATACATCAACGATAAGAAAATGTATTTGAAATAACAAACTCATAAAGCTAAGTAGTAAACAATAACAGGGAAAACTGGGCCTTACAAAACTAATATTTATCACTCTATCTATTGCCTTTAGGGATGAGTATTCGATCCACTCGAGTAAAATTATTTTGAACTAGTGAAGTTGATGAGTTCATTTAGAATTTAAACTTTTATTTTAAAATTTCCTAGAGTTAGTCGAGTTGTTTGAGTTTCTATTTAAATTTATAAATTAATGGCACTAATAGATTCTAATGTAAATGTCTTTCTATAACCATATATGAGATTCATATATATATATTTCTTCATATTTTTTCACATGTAATATACATATATCATGCTGAATTAAGAAAATCGACTCGAATTTAAAAATCAATCTACCAATTATTAAAAACTTAAGTTATTCGAATCATATTTTATAACTCAAATTCTATCTAAATCTTTTAATTAAATTTGTAAAATTACGAATAGAGTAAATTTTTTAATGTCAAGTAAAAAAATTCAAGCTTTTTTTAGTGGAATCTAAATTTACTCTTATCTAATTGCATTTTAGATATTGACAGGCCAACCTCTCCCACAAAAACGATGACGAAATGCTCAACTGACAACCTAAAACCAAAGTCCACGCCCGACCATAACCTAAATTATCATCCTAATAATCAAATCATAGGGAAAGAGAACATAGACAAAAACAAAGAAGTTACACAGGTCGGCCCCTTGTAGTTTGTCTCTTCGTCTACGTAAGAGTTACTTGAAAAGCAGTGACTTTTGACCATTTGAGTTAACGTGCTTAATGTGTTTACCAAACTTCATTACGGGGAGCCGGAAGGGGGGTGGGGATTTTGTAACCTTGAGAGAGGAGACGATGGAGTGCAGGTTCTGCTTATACTCTTCAACTGGCACGTGTTGAAAAGCACCATATCTATCGGGGAGGCAAGCATCGTTAGCTCCGAAGAACACGGTCACCGCGAGCGGCGATGCACCACCGCTTTCGGCCGCAGGAAAAACCCTATCAAGTACCTTCAACGCCCACCTTGTGTTGTACCCACTGTATCCTCTCAGCACCACGTCAAGCTGTAAACCAAAAATGAAAAAACCCACATAAGAAATCATTAATATCATCCAACCGAACCCATCAAACGATTTCAGTAATATCATCAAATGACGTTTCTCAACTGATAATCAATATGTATATATATACATACCCTGCGAGAGAAATGGTTGGCGAGAGAAGCGCCCCAGCCGCCTTCATCGAAGGAGAACTCCGTGATTGAGTCTCCAAAAAGATAGATTTTTGGCCTCATGTTTGAGAGCAAAAACAATGAACAAAATGAGTCTCGCACTGTGAGATCTGAGAAAGAACCAAAGAGTGCATAAAGGAGAAAGTTCACCACCAACTCTGAATTGGGTTCAATCTGTTACCAAAAAAGAAGAATAAGAAGAGGGAAGAGGGAAGAGGAAAAGGCTGGGATCCATTAAATACTCACCAGCTTTTAGTTGAAACCCAAAAAGACTGAAGTCCGGAATTAAAATCTGATACGACTGCCTTTTGGGACTTGATATTAAATTTTGTTCTGTTGTTGTGATATGTATAGAATGGTGCAAGTCTATAAATGTAGGTTCACTGATGGTCTATCTAGTGTCCATCAGTTTCTGTAGCAGATTTAATGGCACTTTCTTTTTGGTGGGGGAACTGATAATTATGCTGGGCCAACCATGCCTCACACCATAAGCATAACGCTTATTTAGATGAATAATCATAAAAAATTATTTTCATAAAATTATTTTTAATAAGGTTCTTTTCTATTGGATTAAAATAAATTGATATCTTAAATTTGTGAACAATTCTTTATAAATCTCGATTCTATCTTAATTTTTATAAATTTTAATATTTTTTGTTGAATTATTAAAATTCATACATACATACAAAATGTAGTTATTGCTGGATTCATGTTTGTGTTAACATGTGAACATACATGTTCTCTAAGTTATTCTTATGATATTTATTTTCTTGATTGATTCATATTTTTTTTTCTTTCACTTTGATCTTTGGTATCATCGGTCTATTTTTCTTTTTAATTTTGATTCATGACACTAAATTTGTTGGTAGTCATAGTTACCGATAACTTTAGGATGTCAAAAAAATTTAAAAGAAGATAAATTTATTAAAGTTATCGATAATTAAAGATAAACTTTACAATTATTATTAAAATTTATCTCTATCACTTATTAACTTTTTGAGATTCTTATTTTTTTAATTTTTTTTGTTATTTTTATAAATAAACCTCATCATTATGAGTGTTCAAAATTTAGTTTTAGCAGAATTAACCGATCGAATTGAATTTGTCGAAACGATTTTTAAACTGCGTCATTTTTAATTATTTTCTTTACGATTGAATTTTAATTAAAAATAATACAATTTTAGAAAACCTCTCGTTTCGAAAAATTAGAAATTCCTTTACGATAAAAATATAAGGTTCGAGGAGTCGCCACCAATCTTTGATTAGGGTGTGATTGGGCACCCAAAAACATTTTGTCATTTTAAATAAAAATTAATTTTAATTAAAACGACAAGTAGAGGTCTGCGTTATCAAAATCTGAGTTCGGGAGTCGATTACGTATGGGGAAGGATTAGCACCCCCACAACGCCCTAAATCGGTACCTAGTCGATTAATTAATTTCTTTGCAACGAATTTCACAAGTTCAAATTTGATTTGATTAATGATCCCTTTAAACGACAAACATGCAAATTTGCAACATTCAAAGCAACAAAATAGATTTAACTTAAAATTACCAAGTCATTAGAAAGATAAAGAATATTCGATTATTTAAAAATATCGAGACCATATCTTTAGTTCAGTTCTAACGACCTTTTCTCGAAAAGTTTAAATAGTCGAATATTTCCTTTTCTTTCGCTCCCAAATTTTACAATGATATATCCAAATTTAATTAGGCGTTACTGACGGGATACCATTTTAATTTAAAATCGTCAAAACAACTTTCCTGTAAGTTAAGGAAAGCCATTCTGATAATTTTAGATTAGAAGGGCATTACCCTTAATTCCGATTATGCAATAATGTCAAGTTATGCATATGAGGATATCATGCAAATCATACAAAGTGATGTTAATGCAAAGATTAATTGAACATGCGATTAAAGTAAACGAGGCTAACATGCTTTAAAAAGAAATACACCTAAGTGCGTATGGACAACATGCTCGAAATAATATACACATGCAACATATTTAAAATAAATCTAATTAGCCTAACAAATATGCATAAAATATTAGAAGGACTAAAATAAAAAGTTAAACAGCAAGTTCATTTTCATAAAAATTCCATTTTCATGTACTGCAATCATAATATAACCCAAAATATTGCATAGGACTAGATTGAAGGTTTTCCAAATTACATATCCAGTGTATAAATAACATGAAAATAGCCAAAACGTGATATAGGACCAAAATACAACACGCTGCAAGTTAGGAGGCTAAATTAAAATCCAGCGAAAGTTCATGTTTCAGGACCGAAACGAAATGCGCTCAAAATCAAGAGACAAAAGTAACATTACAAGTTTACAACAAACAACCATTTAGGGACCAAACCGAGACGGATCAAAGATTGAAGGACCCACGCAGCTACTAACCCACTATCCCAAAACGCGGATTACTCCCCCTGCTGTCAAGGCGCTGCCGTTTTGGCACCGACCAAAACTATGCCGTTTCACGGCCTCCTACACGACGCCGTTTTGGCGTTATGACAAACGGAACATTAGGGTAAACTCCTAAACCTGAACCCATTCTAACCCTTACCCTAAACAACTCTCAGCCGTTTTCTCTCAACCTTGGCCAGATACCCTGCCGTTTCTCCTCAAATCCCTCTCCTCTCTTCGCCTAACCCTACGCGAAAGCCAGAGCCTCCATGGCTTCGCCGTTCTACGCTCCGATGAGGAGCTCGTAAGCCCCCAACGACAACCCCAGCCGAACTCTTCCTAAAATAAACACGACCCTAACCCGTGACTCAAACCAAACCCTCGAATCCCACTCTGTTTCACTCTCCAGTCAAAGACCAACGCCGTGGCCAACCTTGCACCACTGGTTCCGATGAGAAACCTAGACCCCTCGGTTCCCTCACTCTCCCTTTACCCAGAAACCTAGCCTCATAGAACTCGAACTCAAGCTTCCTAGACCTGAAAACCCCTCAAGTCCCTAAACCGGAGGCCCAAACAGGCATGCACGACTGGAAAGCAATGGAAGACGAAGGGGTTTACCTTCGATTCGATGAGGTATTGGTTCCTAGCAAAGATGAAGAACGTATCTGGGCAGGAAAGGTAAGGATTTCTGACTTTTGGGTTTTCTAGCGGCTGATGGCTTTTCGTTTGAATCTTCTCTCGATGATCACCGGTTTTGCGATTATGTTTTTCTGGTTTTGTGTTTTTTTTTCGATGATAGCTAATGAGTTGATCGATTTTTTGCTTGGATCATGATTGATAACTTTAGGGTTCTCCTTCCCTCCTCATCCATCCTCTTCGGTCCCTCTCTATATCTGTTTTTTGTTGTTGGTTTTCTCTCCTCGATTTCTCCGTGCCTCTCGTTCTGCTTCTTGTTTCGTGTGTTTGCAGGGCACTGGCGAGAGCAGATCACGGGCGGCAGCTGTGGGGAGGCGAGCTATTGTCCGGTTGGGCGTGCGTGATCTGGCAGCAGGGTTGGCTTCCCGTGAGACTGCAGCTGGCTCGGGGATTGCTGGGAGTTGGGAACCGTTGGATCTTGAATCCAGATCCAACGGCCTTCAATGATACGGTGCTGGAGGCTGTGACATGGAACCCTAACGGGTCTAGGTTTTCCAGAGTTGGGCCCATAACAACCGGGCTGTTGTGTTTTTCATTGTTTGGTTCGGCCTGTAACAAAAATGGCAATATTTAGTGCATATTTTATATATTTAATTATTTAATTATTTAACTATTTAATTACTTATCCGTATATATATATATAACTACATAATACCAAACTTATGCTAATAACCGAAATTGCAATAAAAACAATAATAAAACCCGATTAAACACGAATAACACCCCGGACAAATTGAGCGTCTACAGCTGCCCCTCTTTGTTCATTGTCGTGGAACGAGAATAGAGCAAAGATCAATGGATGGTCAAATTTGTCCAGTCGTGAAAAATTCAAAAGATTAATCCGCTTCACTACAACTTCAGGATAAGCGAGACTTGAAAAATTCTTCAAAATCGGGTTCGCTCCCTATCGTTTCAGGGAACATAGAACTTGAAGAATCTTCTGGGGACGGGTTCGCTCCCTATTGTTTCAGGGAGTATAGAACTCGAATAATCTTCTGCTAACGGGTCCGCTCCCTATTGTTTCAGGGAGTATAGAACTCAAGAATCTTCTGCTAACTGGTTCGCTCCCTCTTTCTTCAGGGAGTATAGAACTCGAATATCTTCTTCAAACGGGTTCGCTCCCTCTTTCTTCAGGGAGAATAGAACTCGAATATCTTCTTCAAACGGGTTTGCTCCCTCTTTCTCTAGGGAGAATAGAACTCGAATATCTTCAACAATCGTGTCTGCTCCCTATTTCTTCAGAGAGTATGAGACTCGAACAATCTTCAACAATCGCGTCTGCCCCCTATTTCTTCAGAGAGTATAAGACTCGAACGATCTTCAACGATTGTGTCTGCCCCTATATCTTCAGAGAGTATAAGACCCACAATCTTCATCAATTGCGTCTGCTCCCTATTTCTTCAGAGAGTATGAGACTCGAACAATCTTTAATAATTGTTGGGAAATCTGCAAACATTTAAAATAATCATGCAATGTCATGATCCTATTCATGCCTACGATGTATGCAATTATGAAATTTAATGCACTTTCTTCTTTGACAGAATACTATCCCCTTTGATTTCAATGGAACTCGGTTTCGCTTTGGGCATAGAGCATTTCACCCGTTCACCCCAGTTGATACTCTCAATACTATAACTTTTGGCTTGACAAGACTTTGACTTCTTTCTTTCTTGAGGCCTGCCAGTACCCCTGACCAATCTTCTTGATAAATGACAACATCCTTGGGTCATCCATTAATGGCTAAGATTGTCTATGAATCCCAAAGTTTTAGCTTTTCGCAACCCTACAAGCTTATGGGTAAAACCATTACTAGCTTCAGAATACCTGCATTTCCAAAACCTTTTGCATAATAATACAAAATGATCTCATGTACCACAAGTTAAGCTATACGTTTTAACTTTTTCAAAATTAGATGCTTGTAAAAGGGAAATTAAGAAGGGAAAATATCTCTTTATTTATATAAATGCGAAGAATTTTTAGACAACTACATGACAAACTTTTAATCGGAAAAGAACCAAAGGATAAGTGTCTTCAAATATCAATAACACAAATGCTTTTGAACTGGCCGTCAGAATGACTCGAGTGTAGCTTATGTGAAAAGGATCTCCAAAATTGTGATGACACCTAAGAGTGCGAAGCTCTTTCTGAACCCCAAAATCTCCCATTAATCTTTGGTCTCAATCCCAACTGCCATTGTCGTTACCCATGTCAGGAGCTCTTCCTAC